GTCGACAATGGGTGCAGCACGTTGCGTGGAGCCCCTGGTTGCTCTCCTCGTCTCTGAATTTAGCCCTGCACAGCATTCTGTTGTCCGCGCGCTCGATAAGCTCGTTGATGATGAGCAGCTAGCCGAGCTAGTTGCTGCACACGGCGCAGTAGTCCCTCTAGTTGGACTTCTCTACGGAAAGAACTACATGCTCCATGAAGCCATCTCGAGAGCGCTAGTGAAGTTGGGGAAAGATCGACCTGCTTGCAAAATGGAGATGGTGAAAGCTGGAGTCATCGAAAGCATTCTGGATATCCTCCATGAAGCCCCTGATTTTCTCTCTTCAGCTTTCGCCGAACTCCTCAGGATACTGACGAATAACGCCAGCATTGCCAAGGGACCATCTGCAGCCAAAGTGGTGGAGCCTCTTTTCCTACTGTTGACCCGAACTGAGTTTGGGCCTGACGGTCAGCACAGCGCATTGCAGGTGCTGGTCAATATCTTGGAGCATCCACAGTGTCGTGCTGACTACAGCCTCAATTCTCACCAAGCTATCGAACCCCTCATCCCGCTGCTCGATTCCCCGGCTCCAGCAGTGCAACAACTGGCAGCCGAGCTTCTGTCACATTTATTGTTGGAAGAACATCTTCAAAAGGATCCCCTGACTCAGCAGGTCATTGGACCACTCCTTCATGTCCTCGGTTCAGGAATACATATTCTCCAGCAGAGAGCGGTGAAAGCGCTGGTCGGCATTGCTTTGACGTGGCCGAATGAAATCGCGAAGGAAGGTGGCGTTGCCGAGCTGTCCAAAGTGATACTGCAAGCCGATCCTTCTCTTCCTCATGCTTTATGGGAATCTGCAGCCGCTGTTTTGGCCAGCATTCTGCAGTTCAGCTCCGAATTCTATCTCGAAGTTCCAGTCGCCGTGTTAGTAAGGTTGCTCCGTTCGGGAACCGAAGGCACGGTAGTCGGTGCATTAAATGCTTTGTTGGTTTTGGAAAGCGACGATGGAACTAGTGCTGAAGCAATGGCGGAAAGTGGTGCCATTGAAGCTCTGTTGGAGCTTCTAAGGTATAATACTGCACACACTAACATGGTTGATATAGATTGACATAATTAATAGAGCTCTAGTATAGCTGTAGTTAACGTGAATCCCTTACAGGTCCCATCAGTGCGAGGAAACAGCTGCAAGGCTACTTGAGGTGTTACTCAACAATGTGAAGATTCGAGAAGCTAAAGCAGCGAAAACTGCAATATTGCCATTGTCGCAGTACTTGTTGGACCCTCAAACACAAGGCCAGCAGGCAAGGTTGCTGTCAACTTTGGCTCTTGGTGACCTGTTCCAGAATGAAGGGCTTGCGAGAAGTAGTGATGCTGCTTCGGCTTGTCGTGCTCTGGTAAATGTGCTTGAAGAGCAACCGACCGAGGAAATGAAAGTTGTGGCTATCTGTGCACTTCAGAATCTCGTGATGTATAGCAGATCAAATAAGCGAGCAGTTGCAGAGGCCGGTGGGGTTCAGGTGGTTTTGGATCTTATTGGATCGAGTGATCCTGATACCTCTGTTCAGGCTGCAATGTTCGTCAAGCTTCTGTTCTCGAATCACACCATTCAAGAATATGCTTCCAGCGAGACGGTCAGAGCTATAACTGGTAAGTTCTCGAAATTAGCTAACCTACTCTCCTCCAAGCTCTTCCACCTGCTCCTACAATTTGCTCCCTACTATTCTATGGGTTAAGTGGTTCTGAGTTGTCCAATAACTCCATTCTTTTTGCAGCTGCTATTGAAAAGGATTTATGGGCAACGGGAACTGTTAACGAAGAATATTTGAAAGCTCTAAATGCACTCTTCAGCAACTTCCCACGATTGAGAGCCACAGAACCTGCAACACTCAGCATCCCTCATCTTGTCACGTCCCTGAAGACAGGGTCAGAAGCGACGCAAGAGGCTGCACTAGACGCACTTTTCCTTCTCCGGCAAGCTTGGTCAGCATGCCCAGCAGAGGTCTCGAGGGCTCAATCCATTGCTGCTGCAGATGCCATTCCTTTGTTACAATACTTGATACAGTCTGGGCCACCCAGATTTCAGGAGAAGGCAGAGTTTCTTCTGCAGTGTTTGCCGGGTACCCTGGTGGTCATCATCAAGCGTGGTAACAATATGAAGCAGTCGGTTGGCAATCCAAGTGTCTTCTGCAAGCTTACTTTGGGGAACACGCCGCCAAAACAAACAAAGGTGAGAGATCTTGGACTTCCTTGCTGATCATTCTGTCACTATTCTCTTACTTCTTGGTTATTAACGTTAATACTAGGGGTAGGCAATCGAGTGGGGTGCATACTGGACTTAATCGGACTGGACTGAACATAATTTGATTGTCAATTTTAAGTCTTTTTTTAGTTTCAGTTCCGCAGATTCTCTTAAAAACAAAGGAAGAATATTCAAGAGCTAGATTGGGCCAAGTTGGATCGAATTCTCTCATTCCGATTTTGATCCTATTCCGATTCGATATGTTTCTCGACCGGATGTGATTGTGGCTATCCTTGACAAATGTAGTATTGGTCATTCACTCATGGGAGCACTGTTTTTCTTCACTGTCAGGTTGTTTCGACGGGGCCTAATCCGGACTGGGACGAGAGCTTCTCCTGGACATTCGAAAGTCCTCCGAAGGGGCAGAAGCTTCACATCTCATGCAAAAACAAGAGCAAAATGGGCAAGGTAATTGAAGTCTCAAACCTTTTCTCTTCCCCCATCCTGAAATATATAAATCCAGTTTGTCACTTAACCAACTTCTTGGTTCCTTTCTGATCCCCTCCCCCAATACAAAAACAGAGTTCATTCGGGAAAGTGACGATCCAGATCGACCGGGTAGTGATGCTGGGAGCAGTCGCCGGAGAATACACACTGTTGCCGGAGAGCAAAAGCGGACCCTCGAGAAATCTGGAAATAGAATTCCAGTGGTCCAACAAGTAGTTACCAACCAAGCGGTTCAGCTGCACAACTGTGCTGTTAATCTGTTAATGTACCATTCCCGTTCTTTCATTTTCCCCCCTTACTGTACAACTTTGAACTTTATTTGTGTGTAAATAGCTTGGAAGAAGAAGAGGTTATTGATTTTGGTAGGTTTGTCGACTGCCGACAGGAGAAGCCATGAGAGAAGCAAATCAACTGTAGAATTTTTGGGTCATTTTGGTCTGTCATAATTCATTAAGTGTATCATTTTATCATTCTTTTTGTAGCTTATCATGTTTTCTGGATAATCAAAAGACAGGAAGTGAAACCTGCTGGCTTGTAATAGTTGCAAATGTTATCTGCTCTGTACACTTGAATATATAACCATGTTTCATACTCTATGTGGCATTGCAGTCAAATCTGAAGAGTATTAATGCTGTCTGATTCTATGCTTCCTGGAGTTTCGCAATCAATCATTTTCTAGTCCACTGAATTAAAACTTAGAAACTAGTTCATCAAACAATTTACAGCTGCATAGAGAGACGATCATGCGGGTATCAGCTCACACGAACTCAACGCTCTAGATTACACGTAACTCCGTCTCTGTCACCCCCCAACGGGCCGCGGATAAGCACCTTAGCCAAGTTGGTGTTGTGAAAGCTGTAGACAAGTTGCAGAACATTGAAGGGGAAGAAAAAAAAGGTGCAAATCCCACTTGCTCTGTTTCTTGGCCTTTTCTTTTTGGAAACGGTAATGATTTCACACCAAGTTATCATCATTGATCATTCACAGCCCATGACTGGCTGGAATACGTCCAAACTGCAGAAAAAAGGGGTAATGAAAACAGAGAATGAAGGCGGCATATCGACGACGACCTGCAATTCTTTCTCTGTACCAGACATTGAATCCGATAGTGGAAAGGAATAGCATTATGGGAAAAGAGTTAACGGCAGATGAATGAGACCAAAGCAGAGCCGGTTTCTTTTTTTTCCTGACACGTAAATGGACATTTTTGGAAAAAGGTCTCTCTGGACTGGCCCACTACGGGTCGCTCGCCTTTATGGGCCCACGCTACACTGAGGCCCAATTATGAACTCATGTGGCCTTTCTCCGGTACGCTCCTCCGGCGTCTTAGTGGCCGGCAGGGTGGTGGTCCGGTCCGATTTTAAAAGCAAATTTTTTTTTTGACAAATTAAAAGCAAATTAGATTGATATAATATAAGCTTATCATCGAATAAACATATAAAAAATATATATATGTTTACAATTATCATAACTAATCGACCATGTCTGTTGGTTTAATTTTAATTGATTTGAGTGTCGATGTTCTCCTTGTTGATTTCCCCCTCTTAGTGTTGAAAATCAATTCGCTCTGATTATATCATTATATTACAAATCCACACAGACACAACATTTTAACTTTGAGTCTGGAGTTTGCACCACATCCTCATTTATTTTTGGTTAAAGCAAGTGTTTACATCGAGAGTCCTAAAAATTCAGCCAAATAGAATTCGTCAGTTCTGATGGATGGCGAGCCACGAGCGTTTTTGCTCACCAACGCCGAGAGAAAGGAGATGAAAGATAGGCACAAGTGACCATTGCCATCGTTGCTACGGGTGGTGTTCGAAACATTGGATTACTGCCTTCTCTTCTGTCCCTCTACCCAGGAGGCGTAGTAGCATGACATTTTTTCACCACTGGCGCGAAGCTCAGAGGGGTCACTGGGGGGGTCTCCAGTTGGTCTGGAAACTTGCACATTAAAGGGTGGCCTTGCAAAATGGATTCGACTATGACATTACCTATTATGTCCAGCGATGAGTGATCCGTCTCATCTGCACGCGAGCTTAGTGCTTCAGTTATGAAGTTTCCTTTCAAAAGAGTGAAATCTTAAACTTTCTCTTGTTTTTAGATAAACGAACTTCTTAGTCTTACGGTTTACCTCACAGGAGATTGTCTATTCCTTTTGACACTCGTTGTGTTCCCAAACCTTATGAGATCCATAAGTGAATTTTGTATGATCCTCGAAATTTTTATGTTACGAGCTAGTGGGGTTTCCTTTTCATATAAAAAATCTTATATCCAAATAAACAAACAGAAAAAGCAAAGTAGAAAAGATGGCGAAAAGAGAAAAGTAGCATTTTCTTTCCCACAAAGCTCCAAAGGAGAGGAAGGGAGCCGAGGCGAGGCGAGGAAGAACAGAAAAGAAAGAAGAAAGAAATGGTTTTTCTTTTTGGGGTATTGCGTGGCGTTTGTGAAGTGAAGAATATGCAGAGCAGCACATCACATGATCTCTTCTTCTTTCTTCCCGCTTTCTCTCTCTAGAACTCTTCACACTCTCCCACCCAACTTTACCTTTTCACCCCTCTCCACCAGCTCTTCCACCGGCCCCACACCACCACCGCCGCTCCCCCACCCACCGCCATCAAAACCCTAGATCTCCGCTTCCATTCCCCACATCCCAATCTTGAACCCGGCGAGTCGCCATGCCGGCGGCTCGATCTCTGTTCCTCCTCCTCCTCCTCCTCGCGGCGGCTCTGCTGGCCGGCACAGAGGCGGCGCAGAAGGGGATCACCCTGTCGACCAAGCTGATCCACCGCTTCTCCGACGAGGTCAAGGCGCTGAGGGTTCGTCGGAATGTCACCGGGAGCGTCTACTGGCCGGAGAAGAGGAGCATGGAGTACTACAGCTTGCTGCTCGACAGCGACCTCCAGAGGCAGAAGATGAAGCTCGGCCCTCGCTATGAGCTTCTTTTCCCTGCTGAAGGGAGCAATACTGTCTCCTTGGGGAATGACTTCGGATGGTACATTTCCTTCCTTTCGACTTGGTTAAGAATTGATTTTTTTTTCTCGGTGAGGGGGGCTTTGCCGTAGTGTTTTAGCTGGGAGTTGGCTTTTGTTGCTTTGTGTGTGTGTGTGTGTCCGTCTAGTTGTTGTTTGGACTCTGTTGTTGACTGTTAGGAAGAAGAAAGGAGGGGAATTTTTGGGGAACTTTGGGAGGAAGTTAAAGGGTTTGTCTTTTTGTTTCCTCTTTTGTTGCTTCTATGTTAATCTTTTGGGTTCCGGCTAAGGGAAGGGAGCGATTTGGGGAGTTCTTTCTCTTCTGCTGTGTGTGTATGTCTGTGGGTTGATGGTTCTGCGATTTAGTTGACAAATGTGAAGACTTTGCCTTGGATTTTCTGCCATTCTTTTTGCTCTTTGACTTGGACAAGTAGAGAAAAGGTTGAGTATTTTGTTTGACTAATCACTAGACGATATATGCGAAGCTAGGAGTCAGTCGCTCTATCACAGGATATTTTGGAAGAAGATAAGGTGGGGGCTTTGATGGGTTGGGTTGAGATGGAAATATTTGCTTTATAAAACTTGGCTTTTCGTGGGGAAATGATGTGTTTATGAGACAAAACTACAGTTGTAATTGTGTTGAGCAAGCTGGGTCATCTGCAACTTGGTCTTTTTCCAAGTGTTTGTTAGAAAACTGATGCAACCAGGGAAGAAAGATGCTAACTTGTTTGTGAAGCTGGATTAAGTAGTTATAGCTGATTATTCAGCTCTTGTACTCGTGTATGTGTTTTCAAGTTTTCTTATCACTAGTTTTGTCACAAGTTGAGAAGCTGAATGGTTAGTGTTAGTACAAAAACTACTGGTGCTACTGAAGCTTGTTTGACTGCACTGGTACTACGAAGGTATTATCTTTATGTCTGCAACCTGCTTGACCTTTATCTGATATCATCAATTCTACCATTTGCAGGCTGCACTACACTTTTATAGATGTGGGGACTCCTCATGTCTCCTTTCTTGTCGCAGTAGATACTGGGAGTGATTTGCTTTGGGTGCCCTGTGATTGCTTGCAGTGTGCCCCATTGTCAGCCAGTTCCTATGCCAGTCTGGTAAACCATCCTTCCCTTTTTTAGCGTTGTTTCTCGTTTGCTTCAACTCATCACCTCACTACTATGGGTGTCTGGGTTGTGTGGTGCGGAGTTCTTGATTGTTGTTTTCACATGTTCTTAAGTGATTAGTTCTTGCCTGGGCTGAAATAGAGAACAAAAGTTCTATTGCATTTTCCTATTCATTTTTGCAATCTACAGGAGATCTAGCATCCTGAGTTCGGGTACCATATTTTCTAAGAGTCTTTTATTCCTAAAATTCTTTAGACTGTCTATGGTTTCTCTAAATCTCATCTGTTTTAAGTGTTCTTCTCTCCCGATTATGATTGGCTCTAAAAAAATTAGAGCTAGGCACAAAAAGGTATTAAGAATGGGAGCTGTGATTTCTCTGCTAAGCTATGGGTAACCGGTTTAGCACTTATTTCCAATGATTGATTGGCAGGTGCTCCCTTGTATTTGGAGCATCTAATTGTGCAGGGCCAAGATCTCAATGAATATAGTCCATCGCAATCAAGTAGTAGCAAGCTCCTCACGTGCAGCCACCAGTTATGTGAACACAGTTCAAAATGCAAAAGCCCAAGTCAGCAGTGCCCATACTCTGTGGAGTATTACTCGGAGAATACATCCAGTTCCGGCTTGCTGATTGAGGATGTATTATATTTTGCATCAAATGATGATCTTGGTGCATCAAATGCTTCTGTGAAGGCTCCGGTGCTCATGGGGTGGGTTTCATTTGTTGTTCTTTCAGTTTCCTGTTCACGTAGTCAATTGTTATGCTGATCTTTATAATTTTTGTGCAGATGTGGCATGAAGCAAAGTGGTGGTTACTTGGAAGGAATTGCCCCTGATGGTCTCATGGGTTTGGGGCCCGGAAAAATCTCTGTTCCAAGCTTTCTTGCAAAAGCAGGTTTCATTCAGGATTCCTTCTCGTTGTGTTTCGATGAGGAAGATTCAGGGAAAATTTATTTCGGTGATCAGGGCCCGCATGCTCAACAGTCTACTCCCTTCCTAACTTCAAATGGAAATTAGTATGAATCATCTTTGCGCTGAGTAGGATGAAAACTTTCTTTCCTCTTAAATCTGTTTGTAGTATCAAGTATTTGCCAATTCTTATAGATTAATGGCTTGACTCAGCACAACTTACATGGTTGGAGTGGAGGGGTGTTGCATTGGTGGCTCTTGCCTCAAGCAGACAAGATTCAAAGCACTGGTTGATAGTGGTACATCTTTTACATTTCTTCCAGAGGATGTATATGAGGAGACTGTTAATGAGGTAGTTATTTGTTATTTTCTATTCAAGTATCTTAGGGGCTGTTTGGTACCATGCCTTGTGGAATACATTCATGTTAAGAAATCTTGTATCTTGAGAATGGAAGAGTAAGAATGTGCGTACTATCAAAATACAGTGTTGGTTTTGGTAATTTTAATGTGGACCGCATAATTGTATGTATAGTTAAAATCTTTAGGTGGAATGCATGATATCATGTACGTAAGAAATGCATGTGATACATGGTTTTCCTACCAGATTCAGACAATGAAAACGATGAATTGTAAGAAATCTTGTATTCTCAGAATGTTTGGGAGCAATCCCTAGTTACCGGGAGACCCCTAGCTTAATTAAATTTTGGCTCTCTAATATTATTTCCTGGTTTTGTTTGTTAGTTTCACAGGCAGGTAAATTCTACTATATCAAGCTTTAAAGGGTATCCTTGGAAGTACTGCTACGAGTCCAGGTAATTAATTTGCTTAGATTAAAGAGCATTTGACAACTTGTATGTCTGCTTTCTCTCTAAATGTTGGGTTTTATGTGGACAGCTCACAGGACTTGCCAAAAATACCATCAATGAAGCTCCTGTTTGCAATGAACAATAGCTTTTTGGTCCATAATCCTGTTTTTAAGGTATATAGCACTCAGGTAAGACATTATCTAGGAAATATATGGAGCCTCATATTATGCATGAGGCTCGTTTTTATTTTCTGTCCGCAACCAATTGATGCAAGTCCGGTTGAACTTGGTTTGTGTAGGGGTATGGTGGATTTTGTTTAGCAATTCAACCTGCGGATGGGGATATTGGAATTATTGGACGTAAGTTTGTTCAGTGTAAACTTCTGCTTCTATCTGATTTTGGTTCAGTTCCTAGCTTCAACTCACACTAAACTCTATGCAGTGAATTTCATGAGTGGATATCGGATGGTGTTTGATAGGGAAAATCTAAAGCTGGGCTGGTCTCGCTCTAAATGTGAGTTCTTACACACCACACCTCACTTAAACAACTGTTTCCCTACTCCCAGCTGTAGCCCGTGCACTTAAATTTCCAACCTGTGCACTTAAATTTCCAAACCACGTAATATGCAGGTGAAGATGAGATCATTTGGGTACCAGGCAATCCATTGGGAACTGCAAACCCACTCCCAACGAACGAGGAACAGAGAATTCCAGGTCAGCATGCTGTTTCACCAGCTGTTGCAGGTAGAGCTCCCTTGCGACCATCAGCAGCTCCTCCCTCGCCCCTACGAGCATCACATTTGATTAAGTTGTTACTGTTGTTGCTAGTGCTTTTCGCATCTAGGACGTTGTGAATAGGAAGGAAAGACTTGGATGCAGTACTCCCTACTATGCTAACTTCGGCTTTTGTTTTAGATTAGGCCTCTCGACTTGTAAATTATGTATCGAAGCTCTCCTAAGCTCTCCTATATGTATACGTGTATGTGAGTATCAAAGGCGTGTCTTGTGACTTCCCATGCTGCCCTAGGCTAGCTGGTTTCTTCAATTTTGTTTCATCGGTCTCATCTTCCACTCTCCAGTGCTATTATTCCCAGTATTTCCGCTTGATGTTCCTATTCATTTATTGTCATTTGTTTTGATTGATTGTCTTCCTGTTTTTCGTGCTTTCGCATGTATGCTTCTTTCAGCCTCTTTTTGCAATCCAAACATTATTTACTGATTTGTACTGGTTCACCTCAGGCTTTCAAACTCAGTGAAGTTGATGTATGAATAAAGTGGCCGTCTTTATCATGGCAAACTCCTTATTGGACATCCTCATTGTATATTGTGAAGGTTCAATCTTTGAATCATTATTATACGTAACTCACCATTATTTTTGGACGAAAGTCTAATGTATCGGTACACAATGGAATCTGTATCATTCTAGGCAATCCTAAAAGCAGAAACACAACAGAATGAGAGCTCAACATCCGCAAGGAAAAATGGCATTCAAGATCTAGGATCTCGTTATCCAGGTGAACTAAAAGTCTATAACAAAGGTAACAAACAAATTGATGATTGATCAAAACTACACCCGAGTCCTCCGGTGCTTCGACCCATGTATGTGTGTGTTCGTATCAAGAAAGCAATCAAATAGGGTTGAGATTTTAGATAAGAGCTTGGACACCAAGCTGGTGCATTTCCCTTAACCTCCATATTGGGTAGATAGCACCTTCTCCCAATTCTTGTGGCTCTACTTGTTGCATTGCCCATGCATAATACACAGTGTGGATTGTGTCCTGACAACCATAAAAAGAGAAAGGACACAAGTATCAGTGCTCTACATTATTATCATAGACTGGAAACCTACTTGAAGCACGTGAATCAAGGTGATAACATTACGGCCATCAGAAAAAGTTTACCTGGCCTCCTTCAGTTATTTCACCATTACGATCCCGTATGCAATGGATCTGCTGCGTTTGAAACTGCAAATTTTTGCCATGATATGTAAGAAAGGCAGAAGCAATCTATGGGGTACTCAATTGTGGTAAGAAATGGAATTTGCAAGCATACCGCTACAATTATTATCGGAGATGTTCCCATCATTTTGGTCTCTCGTACTTCCACCTCAGATACATGAAGAAGCTGCAGCACAAAAGTGATCGTGTAAATCATCAGAGAGTCCATGATTAGCACCAACTCTTACAACTACAGTTCAAAAGTAACCAAAAGCTTATGGGAATGAGATGGAGTGAGATTCCATACCCTATTATCGAAGAAGATGCCATTGCTCGTGAAAGCTTTACGCTCTCCTTCGCACCTAGCAATTACTTCTGGGCTGCAATACTTCTTCAAAGCTTCAGTGTCTCCCTGCACATATATTATATAAAGACAAGTTTACATTTTCATTGAATTCTCTGAATTACGTAAACAAAATGATTACAGAAAGAGATGCAGTGGGACAAGCAGATATCAGACACCAGTACCAACCTTCATGTAAGCTGTAAGGACAGGTCTTATGGCATCTTGAACCTCCGACACAAAGTCTGGCAAAGAGAATGATCTGGCATGTAGCAATACAGAAGGACAAGAATAGGATTAGAGTGTGGTCCAATATCATCAGGAGAATAAATACAAAGAGACAAACTGCAAGGTGTCTATCAGTTCACGTACGGATCACGCCGGCGTATTTCCTTGATAGATGCTGCAGCATCTGTTTCATGAAAGATGGTATCACCAACACTGAGACAAGGAGAAAAGGTTATGTTGTGAATATAATGGCCTACCCAAATGTCCATACAAAAAGGGCACATGAATAATAGTGTCAAGCATACTCTTGGATTTTGTGAACAATGGGATTATCACTTGTCTCCCATCTTTCCCGCATGTCTTCTGCAAGCTGTTAATTAAAACAACAAAGGACTTTATATGACAAAAGCAAAATAAACAAAGACGACAACAAAGACCAAGAAAGAAGTTAAGGAACTACAGACTGAGAAAAAAATACAGAACCACAGATGGGATGACGATTATACCTCTTGACTCTTCGTCACAACAGGTTCACTAATCCCAGAGAAACGCTTGAAAACAGGATTGCCTTGCATCTGCCAATTGGAGAGGGGAAAAGTAATTAGCTGACATTAGAATGTGGATCCAGATACAAGCAGGTTTGGTACTGTGGAAATAAGATGAAATGCTAGAATAAAGAGTACCACACCTTTTTTCTGAAAGCCTGCCACTTTTCATTCAAGCGAGACTGCTTTGGGCTCGACATTGGAACAACATCAGTTTTTGTGCTTATTTCTCCTTTAAAAGGGGTAAACTCGAGGTGCTTTCTTGCATTTGGATTACCATTTAACTCATCCTTCACAATGTCATATCCCTTCTTCATTATTTCAGTGACCTTTGCCTCCTTCAATTTTTGGAAAGCCGATGAAAAAGCAGGGATTCTTGACTTAAATTTTCCAAACAATGTTTCTGCCGATCCCTTTGTCTCAGAACCTTTGTTTGTTTCTCCACCAGTTTCACCGGTAGTGTTTTCTTTTGTATCAGGACCATCTTTAGACGAAGTGCCGGTGGACTCAGCAGACTCTTGCTTCCCCATCTTGAAAGCTCCTTTCACCTAAATTTAAAAGATGATATTAATTCATCAAGACACAGAAGAACTGATTTCAACCCCACAGAAACATTCACTAATGACTTATCCAAATTACAGGGCATACCTCATCCGTAGCAGCAGAAATCTTTTCCTTGACGCTTGAGGAAACCTGAAACAGCAATAGATTAACAATGACCAGTAAGTGTCATTCACAATAAGCAAGAACGTGCACAACTTATTACCAAAATCCCAACCATACCTTCTTAGCAGTTGCTTCAGCCTCTGTCCAGACGCCGTCAACATGCTTGTACAGCTTCTCAGTGGTCTGCTTCGTTCTGCATTCGCCATTTCACCATCTCAGGCCCTCCCTTGACACACAAAGGTATGTCTCAGCCTATGAACTATCAATACCAAAATGACATCCCCACAAACACTAGTCTACTAGATTACCTAACTCTCAGGTCATCTTTAACGCCTTTAAGTTCCCCAGCTTTCTCCTTCAATTCCTTAGCTTTCTCCTTCAATTCCTTAACTGACTTCTGAAGCTCTGGATTTCTGAACCAGCAGAATGGCGGCAAATTTACTCTCCTCACGTAACCATCAAAATGTGTTCAAAACTATAGGCGAGGATGGAACGAAGCTAAACCGCTCACATCAACACGGCAGAAAACAACAAAGTTTCTGTCTTTGCCAGATACCCATCTCGGAAAAGAATGATAACTTATCATACCATGTAGCCCAGCAAAGCAGAGAGCCCCGAGTGAAAAGTACAGTTAAGAGGGATAATGAAAATACCTATTAACTTCTTCTTTAACATTATTGAAGACACCAAACCTCCGGTAACCTGACCACCTACTGTCCACCAGCAACCTTGACGTCGTATATAAACCCTAAACCACAAATGGAAAACAATTGCAAGCTATACCCCTGAAGACGAACAAAACCCAGAATAAAACAGCCAAAACGAATACCAAGCAGCGGCAGAAAAGCAAAAAGGAAAAACCTCAGCGGGCTTGCGTTGGACGAGGAGTGGCTGCCTGGCCAGGAGCAGGTCGCGGACAAGCTTTCTAGCTGCCATCTGAATATGGCGAAGAAAAGTTCCTACCGGCGGCAGAGTTGGAGATCAATTCAGAATGAACCGACGAGAGGGATTGGAGAATCGGGACGGAAGAGCACTGTTGTGATTGTAACCCTAAGGCCGAAGCTGTGCTGAACTGCTGGTCGTATTGTTCTTTCTCTTTTGCGTTTTCCGTTTCTATTTGTGAAGTGGAGAGCGGGCAGAGAGGAAAAGCTTGTTTGGGCAACGGGACAGAGTGTTCTCCTGCTGGCCTGCTTTGGGGTTAGGACTTTGGAGTAGTGATCACGGCGGTGCGACCGGTTTAGCCATTCACCGGGTCGTCAAATAAGTGGATTGAGCGTTAATGGTCCAATTGTTTTAGCCCGATATAGTTTGGATATATAAAAAAAGTCATTTGTCGTTCATGTATTTAAAAATTGGGTAAATTGTAAGTTTGGTCTACTCATGATTATTAGAAAACAAATTTGAATATTAGATGTGTTATATAAAGTTGTACCGAACCCTAGACAAATTTCCACATGAACAAGGGGAAGCCATTTACTGAACCAAGCCGCTAATGAACTACTCAGCGTCATACTCGAGAAGAACTCGTTCGACACTCGATTCGTCTTTAATCAAGCCGACTCGCGAACAATCTCGTTAACTAAACGAGCCGAACTCGAACCATACCATGTTCAGTTCGAAAGCTCGCGAACAAGCTCATTTAACGGTTTAAATAAGAAATGATTAGCATTCATTGATTTTATGTATTGAAATCGGGATAAACATGCAGTGTTTTATTTTGCTAGACTTTTGCTACAAGTTTGAATGTAATTTTGTGCCCAATTCTAGGTCAATCTTGAGCTACTACGAACATTTTACGAGCTTAACTCGATCTTGGGTTCGTTAAACTTATTTGACGAGCCGAGCTCGAACTTTCATTTTCATAAACGACCCGAGTTCAAACTTGTACGATAAAGCTCGTGACGAACACGAACAGAGCTCAAGCCGAGCCCGAACTATGACAAAGCTTGACTCGACTCGGATCATTAACAACCCTAAACCATCCAGTCTTGGCTCTTGGAATATAATAATGTATACACGTTGCTTTGCTTGAAGTACAAGCTGGGGAAAGAATGGGTCAGAGATCGATCGATGGAAGTGGAACCCTTTTTTGTGTGGAAACTTAAATTAGCTTTAACGAAAAATGAATCCACACCACACATATAAACAAACTTCCACAAAACAGAAAAGTCATATGACATGATCACCTCATTTGACTTAAGTCTGTTGGACAGTACTAGTGGAAGCTTAGTTATGGTGTCTGTTATGAACTGATCTCCATGGTCCTAGCTATATATTCTCCTCCGCAAGCAGCTCACTGTGATCAAGTAAAACCCACCAATTACCCAGAGCGCAATTCATAGAGAGCTGAGAGCACATATTGAACTCCATCCATGTCAAAACTAGCAGCAGCAGCAGCGGCAGCAGCAGCTATTTCCCTCTTACTAGCGCTGCAGCTATGTTGCGATGCATCCATCTCTTCAGAACACTGTCGTCCTGACGAGAGCATTGCCCTGCTGCAGTTCAAGAACTCCTTCGTCGGAGGAGTTCTCAACGACGACAGGATGGCGACGTGGAAGGAAGGATCGGACTGTTGCTTGTGGGAAGGTGTTACTTGCGACCACTTCACTAGTCATGTCGTCGGCCTCCACCTCGACTGTCCTTTTGACGGTGTCGACTATACCCCTTGTCGATGGCTTCGAGAGACGACGACTCTGCATCCAGACAGCTCTCTTTTCCACTTGCGGCACCTCCGGAGCCTCGACCTGTCACGCAACGGCTTCCAAGGCTCCACAATCCCATCAAACTTCACCCAGTTGACCAACCTGGCTCACCTCAACCTCTCCAGATCAAGGTTTTCGGGTCACATCCCACTCGGGTTCAGCCATCTCAACAAACTTGTCTCACTTGATCTTTCCTTTAATGGACCAAATGGTGGTGATCAAGAAAAAGCACTCTCCTTTGCAGACAACCACGATTTCTCCAACCTGCTGCTCAACGCCACGGGATTAAGCAAGCTTGTCCTTCACTATATGGACATGTCAAACATCAAACCTTCCTCCTTCTCCAACTTATCGCGCTCCTTGACGTATATCGACCTTTCCGAATGTGGACTAGCAGGAAATTTTCCAGAGAGCGTCTTCCGCTTGCCAAACCTGCAAGTGTTTCTTCTCGGATACAACCCACTGCTCTCCGTTCAATTTCCATCATCAAATTGGACTGCTGGCCGCCTCAAGGTATTATCACTCTCCTCTGTCAATGTGTTCCGGCAACTGACTATCCCTGCTTCAATCGGGAATTTGAAGTCCTTGGATACTCTGCTCCTTGAGAACTGCTCATTGTTGGGATCAATCCCAGCTTCCATAGGAAACCTCACATCATTGACTTACTTAGACCTCCGAGACAATTCGTTGTCTGGAAAATTTCCTGATATTCTCTCCAACCTAGTTCGGCTACAACACTTGTCTTTACGCTGCAACAAGATTTCTGGCTGGTTTCCCGACGTTTTTGGCAACCTTTCTCAAGAACTCACACTCCTAGACGTTTCCAGTAACAATTTCACAGGTCCTATTCCATCTCTCATCTTCAACCTTCCACAACTTCAGTATTTGCATCTCCATCACAACTTTTTGACCTCCATGGCTATCCTGCTACCTTCACACACGGAGAAGCTTGAGTTTCTTGACATAAGCTACAACATGATTGAAGGCCCACTTTCTATCCCATGGAGTCCAAGCCTTTCATATTTGTCAGTGGCCAATAATAAGTTTGCAGGGAGGATTCCGTACCGCATGATCTGCAACCTCACAATCCTTAGCGTCATCAACTTGTCTAACAACAACTTGAGTGGCGAAATTCCAGCGTGCTTGACCAACCTTATCCAACTGTCAACCCTGCAGTTGAGGATGAACAACCTCCACGGTTCATTTCCGTCGGTGTTTGGCAATATGAGCTCCTTGGAAAATCTGGACTTGAATGGCAACACATTGGGAGGTTCATTGTCGCAAAGCTTAACAGCGTGCAAGAAGCTTGAAGTATTGGATGTTGGGAATAATGAAATCAGTGGTGTTTTCCCACATTGGTTGTCATCTCTTCCTGTACTGAAAGTTCTCATCTTGCACTCCAACAGTTTCCATGGTCCTATCACGACCGAATCTATGAATCCCGTGGACGGCTTCTCCATGTTGCGGATACTGGACATTTCCCACAACTACTTCGATGGTCTTCTTCCTGCAACGCTGTTTCACAAGTTCCCGAGCATGATGATGCTGGAAGAGTTTGAGAAAACTGGAGTGGAATACCTTGAAACGTCGTCAATTTATAATGAGTACTACACTGTTGTTCTGACAGTGAAAGGTCAAGAGATGATGATAACCAGAATCCTCACCATATTCACCACCATGGATTTGTCGAACAACGATTTTCGTGGCAGTATTCCAGAAGCAATTGGAGAGCTCGAATCGCTCAAGCACCTTAATCTCTCACACAACAGCCTCAGTGGCCCAATCCCATCTTCCCTGGTGAACTTGACCGAACTCGAAGCCTTGGATCTCTCCTTCAACCAACTTACAGGAGTGATCCCACCACAACTGGCAAGTTTAACATCTCTTGAAAAACTCAACTTGTCGCAAAATTTACTCCGAGGGCCAATACCCCAAGGCAATCAGATCCAGACATTTGATAATGCTTCTTACATTGGAAACCAAGAGTTGTGCGGGCCTCCTCTGTCCAAGAAGTGCAATGGTGATGACGGTGATGGTAACGACCATCATGACGATTCTGAACCCGAGTTCGATGGAGCATTATTCGATTGGGCATTTGCAGGGGCAGGGTATGGATGCGGCCTGGTGATTGGGATATCGGCTGCCTACATTATGTTCACAATCAGGAAGCCAAGATGGCTGGTGGATATGATAGATAAATGGATTCGTTGGCAACAACAGAATAGGCGTTGGAGGCCGGCGATAACCTTTTAAGTGCAAGTTACCTCTTTGCTTTTCGTGTTATCTGTTTAGTCATTCTGTGGTTGTTCAACTAACATTGGCTTCAAAAGCTAAGTTAATTGGGCAAATGAGAAGTATTTTCTTTGGGAATGGCCTGTCCTTTCAATCCCACTTTCTCTTCCCCACATTTCTTTGCTCTCCAAGTGCACCAAACACATTTGCAGAAACATAACCATCCACATCGAGACCTTCCTCCTCCATCCTGTACATGAGCCTCAGCGCCTGTTCGAAGAGGCCGTTCTCAGTATAACCCGTGATCATCGACTTCCACGAGACCAGATTCCGCTCGGGCATTCCATCGAACACCTGAATCGCGTCCGGCAAGTACCCACACTTGGCATACATATGAACCAACGCAGTGGCCACATACACGTTGTGCATCCCCTGGCTCTTGTTGGCAAAAGAATGTATCGATCTCCCCTGCAGAACAGCTTCCAGCCCCGCACATGCCTTCAGGGCCGACGAGTAAGTGAACGAATTCGGCTCCACGCCTGCCTCCATCATCTCCTTCAGCAGCTCCAGAGCCTCGGCCTCGTGGCCCAGATCGGCGAAACCTGAGATCATGGCGGTCCAGGAAACAACGCTGTGGAGGGACATTTGCTGGAAGACCTCCGACGCTGCGTGCCAGTCGCCACACCTGCAGTAGAACCACACGAGGCTGCTTCCGATGTACTCGTTCGATTGGAACGAGTCCTTGATGATTCGGGCATGAACTTCTTTCCCTGTCATCAAGGCACCAATCGAACCGCAGGCTTTGAGAATGCTGACAGTGGTTAGGTTGTTTGTACCTACATTACGCCTCTGCATCAGTCGAAACAGGCTTATGGCTTCCTCGCCGAGCCCTTCCCTCGCATACCCAGCAATGATGGCGGTCCAACTAACCGTGTTCTTCCTCCTCATTGCACTGAATACTTTACTGGAATCCAAGATCTCCCCACATTTTGCATACATATCGACCAGGGACGATCCTGTATAGACGTCGTCCTGCCACATTTTCTTCACGATGGCACCGTGTAACTGCCTCCCGAGCTTCAGTGTTCTTTCCTCCCCACAAGCCTTTAGAACACTACATACAGTGAACTCGTTGGGCGACAATCCGCTCTTCAGCATTCGCGACAGCAGCACGAAAGCCTCCGTTCCATGCCCTCGCTGCGAGCAAGCTGCAATCATCGTCGTCCAACAGACCACATCTCGATCCACCATCCCCTCGAATGCGGCAAAAGCAGAATCCATGTCACCCAATTTGGCATAGAAATGGACAATGGCGCTATCCACGATCAAGTTCCTCCAATTGCCCTTCAAGATGCTAGCATGAACTTGCCTACCCAGATCGAAATCCAACCTCCGAATGCACAGATTCAGCCCGCAAACGAAGGTCTTGCCGTTGGCTCTGGTTCCATTCTCTATGCACTTGATCAGCAAGCCCAACGCTTCGTCGTCCAAGCCGGCATTGACGTACCCATCAATCATTGCCGTCCAGCTAACTACGTTCCTCTGCGGCATTTCATCGAACGTCTGGCGCGCATGATCCAGCCCGCCCAATTTCGCGTAGGCTGTTATCAAATTGTTGTTTACGTACACGAAGGAACTCCTCGAACATCTGAAGGAAACAGCGTGTACCGTCTTGACTTCTTCTACTGTACGACATGATTGAAGCCAAAGTCCCAGCAGAACGGAGTTCACGAACTGATTCGCGGGCTGCGTGAAGCAGAAACGCGGGGCATCGGCTTCTTCCCGGCTAAGAACTTCAGGGACCCAACTGCCGGAATCAGGGCCAAACGCGTATTTGCAAGAGAAGCGCCGGAGGAGATTCCCGGAATCTGATTCTGCTGGGCGGTTTCTTATTGTTTTTGAAATGAGATTAGAGGGGAAGTCGGGGGACCGAAGTGGGTGAGCTTGAGGTGCTAAAAGCTCTAGCTGTTGGAAAGGAGAGGTAGATGATGAGGCGCAGGTTGAGAGAATCATTGCCGCCGGGGGAAATAGCGGTTGCTTGGTTGTGCCGTTATGCAGCAGAGAGCCGTCGGCCTTTCGTCGGAGGAAAGTGGAATAGCCTTTCCTTTGTCCGAACTAGCAGGCATTTTGAGGATTATATAGAACATGAAAGCTGGGTACGCTTTTTCACCCATTTTTGTTACCACTGTTTCAATTCTTGGCTTCTTGTGGGAGGCGAGTAGAAGAGCTTCCCCACACACTTCCTTCTCTAACGCCCAAATGCCATACCTCCTCTTTCCTGCCTTCTCTTTGACCTTACCCTAGAATTAGTGACCGCAAGTTACTGCCCATACCTTGCAGCCAGCAATATAGTGATTGTACCATTCCTAGCTGCTTTGGCCCCGAAATCAGCATTCAGTCAGCAGTGTTTCAGACTTTCAGTCATGTCAGTCCTTTTACCATTCTACTATGCTTTTCAAGATTTTCCAATCCCTTCACAACTGCTTGAACACGCCACCGCCCATCAATTCGGCAGCTCTCGCTTTGGGGAAGATTGATGTCCTATGCCTAACCCCGTCCAGTTTCTTTCTCCCTCATATTTGATTCTTTTGCTGCTCTGTTCCCATTTTCACCCAAACGCTTCGGCCAATCCTCTAATCCACTCTTGCCTCTTCTGCTTCCAGGCATGAATCACTCAGTCCTTTCGAAGTTGGCATGGACGGACAAAGCTCCTGCGCATTCTAATTTCGGTGTTTCCTCTTCTTTTCCTAGGGGGTGCTGGGACTGACATTGAGGCATCTCGCGGCCCAGCTCAAAGAAGTTCTTGCTGTTCAGAATCAGACAGTTCTCCCAGTGTGAGTCCAGAAAAGGTTCGACACCCTGCTCCAGTGACATTTCCTCCATTTTACTTCAAACACTTCCTTTGTCCCCTCGGATGATGAGGACTCGAGCTATTGTCCTGATAGCTTTCAGTTCCGCCAGTTGAGGACCTACCCGACATTGCCTCTCGACTTGACAGTTAGTTGGTTTGTCTTCGGTCCTTTCCTTTGAGCTTATTCGAGTTTGGAATTGCCTACTAAACCAAATCCTCTTCATAGATGTTCTTGGTAGGTTGGTATCTGCAACGCCTGTCACCTGTTTCCAGAAACAACGGATAGCGAGTCACTCCTACTGATTCAACACACAGAAAGCTCAAGCCAAAATTCAGGTTGGTTCCTTTCACTCACAAAGTTATGTAAGCCTAACTTAGTCACCTGTTACTGAGCCTTATGCAAAAGGAAGCAGTACACTGAAATGTGTTCTTGCTGCCAATCCTTTTATTAGCCTTTCATTGATCACATTGTGCTGAGAGGTAAGATGGTATTATGAGTAATCACTGTCCATACACAACATAACATTTGTTGATTATCGATTATGTTGATTATCGATTGTCCAACGTCGCTACTTCACAGCTTTTTTGTGCTTACAAAATGTAGTTATAGTATTCTTTGATTGAAATAACTGATGCATTCATTTGAAGAAAAGGAATCCAAAAGAAAAAGACACTTAAAGCTGCTGCAAATGACATTGAAATCTTCACCTTTAGTGAACTGAGTCTCTTATTTTCCATATAAAACGTTGCATTTGGGAAGGAGTACACTCTTGCCATATCCGAAGTTCTTAGATTTTAAAATTGCCCTCAATATGACACTCTTAGTTCGCGGAGTAGTCTGTGATCATGCTTGCATATTGTTGTACATGATAGTTGATTAGAGTTAATTTGTTAGCTGAATGCATTAAGAACTTGGCTCTCAAGAACAATGAAATGCAGTCTCTGCAGCAGGCATTGGGGATGCTCTGAGACAATAATAATGGACTTCATGGTATATGCTCATCAGAGGAAGAGATCCAAGATCCTGTATATCATTTATTAAGTAACCATTTTCATGGGTTTCATAAATTTTTTTTTTGCTTTTCATTGCTTCTTTTTCTTAATGATTTATACTGTATGTTCATTCTAGGGCGTGCTGGTGCAGGAAGTGGCATCCTTGCAGGTCACTAAACAGGTTCTCAACATTTTATGGCTGCGACTCTACCAAATTTTCATGCTCATTCTCTCTCAATGTCAGTTTCTTTTTCACTTTCGCAGCAGGGAGATACTGACTGGTTGCTAGCATACTGGTTTAGCCTGGGGATGATATTTCTATTATGGTTTTGACAAGGAGGCCACAAGTGTTGAAGAACATGTTGATCTTGGACCTTGGTGGTGGTGCTTTTGATGTTTTCCTGGTAACAGTTGAAGAGGGTATTTTTAAAGTGAAGCGAGTTGCTTGAGACACTCACCTTGGTGAGTGGATTTTGACAGCAGATTGGTCAACCACTTCATCTAGGAGTTCACGAGGAAGAACAAGGAGAGTGTTCCTATAATCTCTTTGTTTTTTTCTTGACTCAGATGTCATCCAATTTTGGATTAACTTATTGAATTGTACATAGCTTTATGCTTTGATTATTCACCTGTGCTTGCAGTGTATATATACATACATACATAACATGATTCAAGCAATTAGGATATCAGGTTGGAAGTTGGGTTTGTTTTGCCCCTCCATCCTGGTTGCACTATTTTCTGTTCTATTCCTATCAAGTGTGTCTAAAAACAAAAACTTATGAAATAGCCTATATTCTTCCAATTTGTACTCTTCATTCTTTCCTGAGGACTTCAAAAAATGCATGATACACCAGCGTTGTATGCCGTGGAATAAGTAATATTATTTATATTTTTTTGTTTGTGCCGTACATTGCATAGATTTATTGGATGCTATTGTTTTAACCTATAAAACTATTTTTTGCTAAATTGATTGCTTGATACCCTTGCCAGCTGCCCCCGTTCTCACCAAAATCCATCGCTGACTGATAGTATACAAAAACCCAGTGACTGTCAAAAGGAAAGGAAAAGAAAAGAATTAGACTTCCCACAAGGTCCAGTGTACATCCTTCACCTTCCCTTTGACTTCTTAGAGCATGAAATACGATTTTTAACTTTCCCTCTCCCTGTCGAATCCTTTTCCCATGCTATTCCCTATCCAGTCACATCCATCCCAAATTTCTACCATCCAAAATCGTCTCTCCATCACTCTTACGCCATCAACTTCTTCTTTTCTTTCTGATAAGCCAAATTTCCATTCTCTCATCACTAAGTGTTGGATGTTGTAGTAGTGGTGGATTGGTTTCAAACTTTGAAGCACAATATAATAATAAATGTCTTAATCTCAACCTATACTACTCATTCTCAAGTCTCAACTACCATGTGATCTCTTATTTGGTAGTTGGAAGTTGTAGCGTGAGTTTTTGTTGTCTTTTGATGTTCACTTGCTGTTTCTTCGCATGAGATGTTTAGAGTGCATTATGAATGATGGATGATTACTGCCTTCTTAGACAATTTTTTTTACAAATTGAAAGAAGATAGTCGGGGAAGGGTAAGAGGACAAGGAAAAGAGAAGCTTTAACATCCTTCTTTTCAACTTTCGTCTTGAAGCATGGGCAACTAATTTGGGGGTTGAGAATTTGAGCCAATCTTTTTGGTTCCTTTTTAATGGACTATTAACTAACTTTACTAAGATGGGTATGGACTGATTTAACATGCGATATTAATGAATTTGATTTGTAAAATATATTTCCTCGGGGTGGTCTCAGTATGGAACTTAATAATCTAATATTGAGTAGAGTAAATGCATAAGATTTGTTTTAAGTTTAAAATAACGCTATTGACAGAGTTTAATATGTCCTGATTTATGCTTTGTGAATAATTTTTTTGACATACTTCGTGTACATAGTTTGTAACTATTTCATGTTACTATTATTGTATTTCTAAAAATTACTACACTGCTCTAATCAAATCCTGTGGCGTAGCCACGGGTATTGATTTTAGTACAAATTAACAAAGAAGCTTTCATTTTCATATTTTGTCTGATTTAATGTTAGCATTTTTCTTGTGCTGAAACTTTATTGAAATAATAATAAAATACCATAATTTTAAAAAGATACTAAATATAGCCACATAAAAACTTATAGATTTCCTGTCTAAAATAAATAAATAAACCCTTATAAATTTCATAAGTAACTCCCACTAAATATCAATAACAAAGCAATTTTTTTTCTTAAGTATAGATACGAGAATATATAATAATACAAAATATATTATTTACAATGAAAGTTCAAACACATATAAAATTATTTGCCTCAAGATATAATTATTAGAGACAGATATGTACGCCTATGTAAATATATTTAAAATGTATATAGTTGTTTCAATAAATATTATCACAAGTATTCAATAATGCGAAAAATAGGTCAAGATAGTAGATTTATCATCAAATAAGCTTTTTTTAATAGATATAGCAGTTACAATATACAATAATATACATGATCTTTGAAGGTAAAATCACAAATAAAGAAAAGAAATTTACAGACGATAAGATAATAGAGCTTTGGTGAGTGATGCCATGACATGGTACCCTATAATTTACTTTTTGGAAATAAGCAGAATCCATGACTTAATATCATCAAATAAGCTTAAACTGTACAATATGTTCATTTCATATGTTCACCAGTACACATACCTATCTCATCAGAACTTGCTCTATCCAAAGGCTGAAACTGTACAATATGCATCCCCTGCAAACTGAGGTCCGTTTAGTTTACCTTCTCAATGAACTTGATGCCAACTGCTTGTAAGATCTCCAGTGCTGGGAAACCGCAAACAGAAGTAATATGAAAAACAAGAATCTTGATGTACATTCAGTGCAGCAAGCAGCTTGTTTACAGACTTACCTGGCTCATAAACTTCCGGTTCAATTGGCCGGAGCACACCTCTGCTCTTGATCTTGTTCTCTAACAACAGCTGCAGAGGGGGAGGAAATCGTGAAGGTGACTAAAAGGTACAAGAAGTTAACCTTTGATGGAACCTGACTAAAGGGAAAACTGTTCATAATGAATTACCAGAGCTCCAATGGCTACTGGAACACCAACAGTGAGAGCCATGGCTGTGGTGGTTCTCCCATCTTTGGTACTCCCGAATTCCAGCAACGTGCCTCTGTGACTCTCTGCAGGCTGCCCATCAGGGAATTCCACCTCCAACTCGTGATGCAAAAGCACCATATCCTTGTCAAAGTGAAAGCAGATTAAGAAATTACATCAAGCTGTGGCTTGTGTGGTGCACAACTCAAGTGAAGTGAACTATTAAGGGAAAATACCTGTTCACTGCCCGAATAGGCCAACCTTTCTTCCATTCGGGAACAAGCAACATCAAATGCAGTCTTGCATGTACTAGGCACTTCAGTTTCCTCATGAAGTCCTAAACACCTGATCCAAAAAATAGGAATATGCTCAATGTCACCCTCCAGAACAAAAAGAATTTTGGACTAGCTTTGCAAAGATTGTTTTTTTCCCATCGTTTTCATCAACAACTGGAATGAGTTGTACATACATTAATGTTTTTGCTACCATGGCTGCAGTTCCTGGGTCCTTGGAATGTCCCAGTTTGGTAAGTCTTTCAACAATTTCTTGCTCCCCAACTGGCTTTTCCCTCTCCAGTCCAAAAAGATCACACAGAAACGTCTTGTAGGTTGCACTTCCTCCGTCGACAAGGAGGGGATGAGGTTCAGTGCCGAAAAGGCCGATTTTGGCTAGGGTTGCCATTATCTTGCCAAACCCTAGGAAGAAAAAAGGACTAAATGAGCAACTTCCACAAAGTGTTTCAAGGTAGTTAAAGCATTTGAAAGGTCCATCCATATAATGTAGTATTTCTTCCATGCAACCATTCTAGAATTCCAATCAATATATCTCTTACCTTGGTAGCGGAGCGTTCCACGGAAGATGGTTGCAGCTTCATCTTGTATCCTATATAGCTTCCCATAAACCAACGAGTCACGGTTTGGAAGACATTCCAAGGAGAAAGCTGGAAGGTCTGGGATCCTGAAAGTGGCAGCTGAATCGTACAGGTCGTCACCTGCAAGATTGATTTCACCTTAAGTAGAGATTCGTGGTGAATAATGCATTGTATCAGCAATAACCTACAGTACATGCTCGTGCGTGATTGTGATGAGGAAAGGAACAAGTGGTTGTTTTGGCTTTAAGAGGGTCATCTAAAACAAAATTGGATCAAAATCCAACACTCTTTTCCAATCTAAATGAGTTTATAATTCTTTTAGCAAAAGCGAAAACAGTCATTTTATCCATATGCAATGACTACTTTGCATCCTCCATTTCCTTTTTTTTTCTATGTACTGAACCTCTCAGCAAAAACTCACCATCAACATGCACGATTTGACCATTATATCTGTAGGTGGCTGGATTGCGCCCAGCTCGGATGGCTCCTGCAGGACTCCAGCTGAAAGATTAAAAGGAACAACATCATTAGTGCAAAAATACTTAAAAACAAGACCTTCTTTCACATAGTTTGGTTTAATAAGTTTCACAATTTCACCACAACAAAAAGAAAGTTTCACAAAAGTACCTAAACTTGTAGGCCAAAGGGTTGTTTGCCGCGGCCGGTGATGGAAGTCCTCCACAATAAGAAGTGAAGGATTTGATTCTCCCATTGCGCATACGAGCTTCGTTTATCATCTTCATGGCCATCATATGATCTGTAAATTTGTATGTTACTGGAATCAACAACCCAAGTTTCAAGAAGTCCAACACTGACAGTTATTGAATGATTGCATTGGGCTTTGTTGGGACAAGCACACATTTGAGCAGAGGCTGGGTTAGGCTTCAGTTTCAAAAAACGTTACCCGGTTAGTGTTCTACAGTTAAAAAATTACCGATTCCAGGATCCAATCCCATTTCCCCAAGGATGGTGATATCAGCCGCTTTCGCATTTGTATCCAATGCTAACATACGATCATCAACGTAGCTAGCAGTGACAAGGTGCTTCTTAAGCTGAATCAGTAGATGGAAAATATTCACAACTTTAGAAGAGATTAGAACGATGAGGATATGCTTGAAACGGACTCATGAGCCACAAAACATCAAGTCTAGGTTTAAGGGACAAGGGTAGAAATGATTGGGATCAGTAAGGGTGGTGAACTAGGTTTGCCTAGAACAGAGAATTACCTTTATGCACTCATTAGCAACAATGACATGACAACTAGCAGGCAGTAAGCTAATTACAACCCCAACCTGCACAAAAACATGTGAAAATGCCACCCCAGACAGATCATATGTTAGCGATTTCTGATGTTTGTTCGTTGCATACTTGTTTAAAGGGCAGTCTTGATCACAATGACAATATACCTGTGAAATAAGCTTGCACAGGCTTTCCTGATCTGAGACATCTAGCTGAACTGCTGTGGCATTTGGGATACCTTCTGTGATCTGCACAATATTTGTTTCTATTGTTGCTAAAAGCCCTCAAATTACACAAGAACATGACAACTCCTGAAATCCTGATAATAGCAAAAATGGTAAGGTTTTCCCCTAGAATTACCTCTTGTGCATCTTTGACGAAGAGGGATGCAACAATAACTTCAATATCTTTCTGTTCATCAACATCCAGACATGCTTCATACCACTCGGAGGCTGCATCACTCCCAACTGATGCTAGGAATTCAACAGCAGGTCGACATACTCGGCCAGCGCCAATAAGAAGAACAGAAGCTTTCCTTTTCCCATCACATTCTTTTTTCATGTCATTTTCTTGGATTTTACTGACTTTGACAGAAATATTGTTCTCTTGTTTGCCAAAATGTCCTTGATGTTTATCGTGATTGGCTAGAGAATTCAAAGAGTCTATGATCTGATCCAAAACTTCCTTGTCATCTGCCTCAACCTGTACACGTGTCAAATATGAAACAATAGTAATAAAGAAGAGTTCCTCTTTAATCATATGAGTTCTATGCTTAATCTTTGGCATAGTCACATTTAAAATAAGCTTCAGTTATCAAGAGAATCATGATTGAATTTCATTATCAGCATCATATTCATCTTGTAATCCAAAAGAAAAAATTAGAGGTCCACGTACTAGCACTTCGGACAAGGATGTTTCATTAGCACTTTGACCGACTTGACACTTCACCAAGTGAAAGGAGCCTCCTTTTTCTTCAATAATATCGAGTGCATCATTTATGAGAAACTTATCGAATAAGTGACCACTAAGAGAGACCTGTTAATCGAACAGAAGACATTAGTAGCAAATAACACGGGCTTGAAAGTAGTTTAATAACCAAAATTAATCACAAACTCCTATAAGAGTTATCAGATACAGCAGTTATCAGCCTTACCGTTATATTGAATTTCTTCCTGCTAGAGTTTGAATTCACTGCATTATCTTGTACATCTCTGCAGCAACAAAAAATTTCCACGTTTGTCATCATCAGATAACTCAAACTGGAGCTCTTACTGAGACTAATCAGGATTCCATCTGCCTCGGTATAAACTGCCAGATTCAGAATGCATTTTATAACCAACCAATAAATAATTTTTCTACCAAACCTAGTAGGCAATGAATTATTTTTTATTCAACAGTTGTAATCATAAAGGAAAGCAAACAGGGTAATGCCAGGCTTTGAAGAACATACCCAGATTCAGATTTTCTGATACGAGGAATATATTCGTATAATGAAGTGAGTTTTCCTCCATGGGCTATGCAAGCTCTCCTCAAATCTGCGGGTAAGTTCTGAATGTTGGTGGTATAGGCCAAACTGCGAACAAATTGTGACAGTATATTTCCAAAATGTTGGGATGCCTGTTGTACATTGACAGCATGATACAAAATCCATCATAACCAATTACATTGAGGACAGAAACCCGAATAAATTTGAATACTATGGTAGATGAAATCAGAGTAACTCAAACCTCTTTCGCGAACTCTGTAGGAAGGATGTCAACAGAAGAACAGATGACTCCACTACCCTCCATATCATGATAGTAAGAATCATTCTCCGGGTCATATCTGAAAATCGTAAATAATGCAGCACATTAAAAACTCGGAGATATAGGTGGAGTGTCAATGCTAGTAGTAAAGGATAACTCGGTACCTGAAGAATGGTGAATCAATGGTTGTTGTTTGGTTTACAAACTCTAAGGAGCCATTAATATCGCAGGTTATATCAGCAATGCCAACTAGTGGACATTGCTTCCTCATTAGATCTTGAAGCTGTTGAGTACTCAGCAACCGATGAAACCTTTTCTCCCAGTACATGCAATTGACTGCAACAAAGTGAAGTCAGCAAGTTCTAACAAGAAGAAGCTCCAGAAAATGAGTTGAACAGAGAATGTATGATTAGGTATTAAGATTTTAGAACCAAGAACAAATTCTACATATAAAGATGCTCAATCAAAGAAACACTTTTTTCTCATAAATTCACAGTTGAAATGTCAATTTAACCATCATATATGACAAAATAAAGAACAAGCGGTTCCAAGATGATTTAACATGAACTATAGTAGCAAGTAGAGAACTGATTGACGCACCAATCACAGATGCATATGGGGCTATACGCTCATGAAAAATCGGTTTATAATGCTCTGGATGAGCATAATAGTCTGCCTGAAAAAAAAAAAGCAAAAATTTATGTTTGTCAAAATATGCATCACTTGGTACTCTAAAGAAAACATTGAGGCATTTTGCAGTCACTAACTTTGTCAAATGGTTTCGAAGAATCAATGTGTTGGACCATGTCTTGGGGAGTAACAACACAACCATAGACTTTGAAAATTCTCTTTGTTGTCTTCATTGATGATGGAGCATCCTTTGCCTAATCAGAAAAAGAACATTAGTTAGAACATCACCATATGCAGTAGCATCATAACTAAGAGCCATTACTGAATAAACTGAGGACACAATCACTAGTTCTCCTGAAACTTACTAGGGAAAATAGTTCTGGGAGTTTGCTTGGCTCAACAAATGTGTGGGGAAGTAGCCTAAATATTTCTTGTGCTCCTTGCGAAACTATTGTTTTGATAACAGTCAAGACAAAAAAAACCAGCATAAAAAGGAATGATGTCTAAGTAATACATGATCCATCTCTTTTCAAATAGATGCAATGAGACAAATGCCATACCATTTCCCGAACCAGTGAAAATGAATACCAAAGGACAGATTCCTGAAGGCAATCCAAGACTTGCTATCTCTTCACCAACAGAAATCACAGCAGCTTTAGCAGCAGCCAGTGAAGAGTACATGTACGACGCGCCCAACGAAAGGAACGGAGTGGAGTAGCCAAGGCTCAGATATCCTGATGAACAAACAAACAAACATCAAAACAGCCCACATTTAACAACTTCTGTAGCAAGAAAACCATGAAAAACAACAATCCGCTGAGAACTGAAACTTCTGCTTACTCTGGCCTAAACCATGCAAGAAATCGACCAATCCAGCTCTGCCAGCATAATTCCCAAAGGCAAGCTTCCTTTTCCCAGTTTCAGGCTTGACGATGAGCTCGTAATCGTACAACGTTACCCTTTCAGCTAGAACCTAACATCAACAGCATCAAAGTACCATCATCCAATGATCCATCATGATTCATGAACAACCCAACTCAATTGACAAGCAAAAAAGCAACCATTTTGTAGTGGATAGTGGCAAAAATCCACTTACCTTGTCCAACAAAGGCATGTTCTCTTTCTGAGCCTTGTGAGTGTGAGAAAAGAAGGCATAAGCTCTATCAGGCAGGATCATCTCCAGCTGCCAACCATAAACCAGACCACCCTTCAAGTCCAAGCTCTAGCAGAACAAAGTTATATGCAAAGAAGAGAAATTTCAGTTTTATGCACCTTGGGTTGTTTAATGCCGACGACGAGACCGCACTGGGAGAGATCTTCTGAAATCTGGCAGCCAACTTCTTCATACATAGCATCGTGATGGATCCGCCTCGTGGATGGCTGCACGATTATGCGAGCCACTCCATTTGCATCCCCGCCGTGAAGAAGCCGAGCGCAGTGCGCTGGTGTCAGTGGCGCCCTTCTCTCCCACTTGTTCACTGACTCTGCCAGTATCCCTATCACTCCATTCCCCAGCATTTTTTTTTTTTTGCTCACAATCTGTTCGATGAAATTCCTCAATGGGACTCGATGATCAAGTCGGAAAACGTAAAGAAACGGACTAGTTGATCAGTGACAGTGCCGTCCTACGGCGTGTACGTTCATATAGATGTATGGGTCTGATAGGGGGATAAGAATTACAGCACATACCCAGAAAAATTAAATAAGGGAAGGAATTGAGGAGGAAGGAAGAGCACGCAACTCCAATTCACTGGATCGTCTTGGAAGAAAACAAAAAACAGAGTACTCTGTTCCGACTAAAAAAGAAAAGGGAAATTAGGGGGGGAGAGAAAGGGACGTGAAACCAACCAAGCCAATCAATCAATAAACCCGGCCATGGCAGCAAATTGTTTGTATTAGGTGAAGCTCAATGCAATAATTGGAAGTACGATTAGAAAGAAAGGAACTGCATTTGCATGGATTTGGAGAGTATAGGGATGGTGGGTCGGGTCTCTGAGATCAGCAATTGCAGAACCCTTTTAACTAAAACCTCTGTTTTGTGATTCACATGCAAAAGCAATGCAGGAGAAATGGAAAAGGGAGATGGCGTGGCGGAAGTTTGCGGTAATCAGCTTTGCTCTCTGCCTGGCCTTTTCCTCTGTATAATGCAATCAAGTTGTCGTATTCAGCCAGAAAAGGACGGAACTTTTTCTTTCCTTTCCTAGTCAAATTTTTACAGTACAGATGACAATCGTGGATATGCTTAAATGAGGGACAGCCAAATTGGCGGGTGAAACGGCAAGATCCGTATCAGCTGGTGATGAATCAATGAAACCGAGAAAAAGGTGAGAAGCTGCCAGCCATGCCGCACAAGTTTTCAGTGAATCATCAACTACGTCTACGACTGATCTGGTCAAGTGTGGTCCACGGTTCACGTGGTAAACCGCCATGGCTTGGGTCGACTCGTGACATAAACCCTGCGGCTGGGTTTTGGGTTTAGGTTTGTGTTATTCATCCACCCGTTCTCGGCGTTTGTATTAGCACAACTGCGGGAACTGTTTCCGATGGCTGCAGGAGCTCAGGAAGAAGAAAAGCTCCGAACTTTCCTGAAATGGCTGCTAGTACGCTCTCGCTCTTCCTATTTCACTCCGCTAATTTCCCCAAGCTTTCAGAACGTGTCGTCTTGCTTATATTTGAAATGGTCGAGTACTTGAGATTAAGTACTTGAGCCAAAATAAAGGGTTCGGCTTATTTTTCTCCGGCGACGTCTCCGATGATGGTAATACATCAATTCCTTTCTGTTGGATAGATTCTGAAAGATAATTTGTTATTTTGTTGAAGTTGGTTAATGTTTTTAAGTTTTGCAATATGTTCCAGGGTTATGTAAGCTTCCATGAATGTTTTGGCTTTGGATTTGGATTGAAGATGTTTGATTCTCTGAAATGGCAGAAAGTGTAACTATCAATTGGATTGGAGTTTGGATTGAATTTCACATTTGGATCAAGTGATTGGTTGTGTGATTGCTGAATAGATTCTCGATTCGAATTGTTTTTGCAGGAGTTGTTCTGGCTGTTCCATTGGATTTAGCAATAACTCCAATGAGGGTATTGCAAGATTCCCTCATTGGACCGGATTGTGGAGCGATGCTTGAAGAAGGAGAAGTGGATGACAAGTTCTTGATGATTCTGTTCCTTGTGGTGGAGCGCTTAAGCGAAAAGAACTCTTCTTGGAAGCCTCGAGTACGCACAGCTAATTCTGTTTTGTATACAAGTTTGAGTCCTGGTCCTTCTTTGGCGGCTGAATATGTTCAATATGTTTACACTAGGTACCTCGACATGCTTCCAACTACATTTTGGGAACCCACTTTGGTTTACTGACGATGAGCTTTTAAAGCTCGAAGGCACAGCACTGTATCAGGCAACCCAATTACAGGTAAACCATGCCCTTTGGCTGTTCACTAATCACTATAATGTAGGGTCCTAGAATTGTGGATTGTGAATGCCATTGTATTAGTTTTCCCAGAGGGCTATAACTGAATGAGGAAAGAAATGTTTATACAGAAGAAGCCTTTGATGATGTCTCTCTTCAAAGACAAAGTGAAGGGTCTGGTGAGGAAACTTCTTGTTCTTGACGGGAATACCGAAAGGTGAATTCCTTTATGCGAATTTTCACAAATTCATCTCAGCAACACTCGATATGAATGCATCTTTCTGGTGTCCATCAGTAGTTGAGTTGTTGCAATGCACATCATCAATTGCATATATCAACCCGAAAGAACGTTAAATAGTTGTTCTTGTTTCTCTTGACAGGGGCGCCTCGTTTGAAGACTTCATCTGGTGTGTATTTGCTAAATCAAACTATGATATTTTGCAAATCTTAAATTTGGTTTCTCCATTTTTTTCCTTCGTTGTTGAATGGTTGAAGAATCCCAGTGTTGTTTGATCTACTGCTGGGGTTTTGCCGCTGTTCTTGCTGCCTGTGCTCGCCACGAACACTTACATTTCCGAAAATGCACTCATGCCAGGTCTGCTCTGAACTGCCCTTCACCACTCAATTTAGCTTGAATGTAATTGGGTTTCCATGGTAGTAATGTAATTCGTCTGGAATTGTATCTTCCTGATGAAATTGAAGGTTCTGCGAGTAGTATCCTGTCACTTTCATGGCTGTAGTGTAGACTTGCTTCCTAAGCACAACCCTAAAAAACCCACACTTCTTCCATTTATTATTTTGGCCAACAAGAAACCTTTTATCACAATAGTATGCTTTGATAAAATAGAATGACCTAGTGTTATAGGGATGGTTTGTGAAATTGTAGTCGAGATTGAACCGAACAAGTTAGGGGAATCCGATGTTCAGTAGTACATTTGTAATTTAATTGGTTGCATATTGATAGGATACAATTGTTAAAACAGCATCAAAATAAGATAATATTCTGCCGATAATATACCGACATATGATACGACCGATCAAATTCGGTAAAATTGACCGGTATATTGTTGGTAGTATGTTTGACAGTCATACTGGTCTGCTGTCAATGAACGATTTTCCTAGTCATATGGTCGATATCCTACAATTCTAAAATTCATGTTTTTATAGTCCGACCCTCGATACGTTATAATTTCATAAACCATACTTATAGGTTTACCGTATATTCATGAGGTAGTTTCAGACATCATAAAGAAGAAAAAGGGTAGTCTTTAGTCTTTACTGATTAAGAAGTGAAGCAGGAAGGGCTCTTAAGCTGGGGGTAGGGGGTTCAGTGCCCTTTTTCCTTTTTATATTCTGTTGTATGAAATGAAATCAGAGGACTGATGAGAGCCAAAAAGGCCTATTTAAGGAGTAGACCTTCTGCAAAACCATACTTGTAAACATCTCAAACCACCCCCAAAAGAAAAAAGCATATAAGGAGCTGCCAGCCTGCCACTCAGCTTCCCTCTCCCCTGCCTTAAACCTCTGTTCTTCTTCCCCTTTCCTTCCCCTGCCTTGCCAAGTAAAGAATCATTCCCTTAGAATAGTTTTTTCCTGTTGCCAACCAACAAGAAGCTCCCCTCCCACTTTCTTCCTTCTTTCTTATATAAATCTTCCTTCCCTTTCCTTCCCTTCCCCTCAAATCAAAATCCTTCTTTTTGCTGCTTGCCATAAATACATGCAAAACTCTAATAAAGCTAGCTACTTTAAGCCAGTTCCGTGTTGTGTATTGTTCACCTTTTGTTTTCATCCCCTTTTTCCTTTTCCCCCAACCTTCAAAGATCTTTGTGCTTCTTTCCTGTTTATTGCTCAAGTTCTCTAGCTCATTTGTGGGTGACTTTCTTTTGAGAAGCTCTTCAAAGTTGAGAACTTGGCATTGGACAAGAGAGAGAGAATCAGAAGATGGGTATTGGAGGGACTTTGGAGTACCTGTCAGACTTGATGGCAAGTTCAGGCCATAAACACAAGAAGAGGAAGCAAATGCAGACTGTAGAGCTCAAAGTCAGAATGGATTGTGATGGGTGTGAGCTTAAGGTCAAGAATGCCCTTTCCTCATTAAGTGGTAATAAACTTCTTCTTCTTTACTATACTTTTTCTTGCCCCCTCTCTGATAATACTGATTAGCTCATAGTTATGTAGCTTCCAAGTGACTGATAAAAGTTTGTGGGTTCTTCTTTCCTCTTCTTTGTTTTAGGAGTGAAGAGTGTGGAGATAAATAGGAAGCAGCAGAAGGTGACAGTAACTGGGTTTGTAGAGCCACACAAGGTGCTGAAGAAGGCCAAATCGACAGGAAAAAGGACAGAGATCTGGCCATATGTGCCCTACAATGTAGTGGCACAGCCATACGTTGCTGGTACTTATGACAAGAAAGCCCCTCCTGGTTATGTGAGGAAGGTTGATCAACCTGCTGCTGTCTCAACCGTCGCCAGATATGAAGACCCTTACACATCCATGTTCAGTGATGACAACCCAAATGCTTGCTCCATCATGTAACAGTCAACTAACACCAATACTACTGATCTCTACTTTTGTGAATGGTTTCCAACCAAGCAGTAAGTTTTGCAGTAGAGAGAGAGGGAGGAAAAGTCTTTTTGTTTTTTCTTGCTCAGTGTGGTTTAGGAAGTACTGTGATGGAGACAATTTGATTTTGATGTTCTATGTGAGTCATTATTATTATATATATATATCAAGAGGGTTCTTGTTTCTTTCTTTCCTGCAAATTTTATGGTGTCATGAGTTAATATATTTTTCTGGGAGGTCTCTGTTCAACAGCTGGAGTTAGCATTGAATTGGGAAAAGGGGGAAGAAAGAAAAGGAAACAGTGGTTTGATTTCTGGGATGTTGGAAATGAAAACATGAACAGAAGATAAAACTGACATCACCAGAGGGAAATAGTTTTTCTTTCACAGTTTTAGTGTAGGGTTTCTGTTATCAAAGAGAATGGGAAAACATGACCAATATAAGAAAGATTGCAGTGAGCAAATGATACAAACCAAGAGATTTTGTGAAGATCCCAAGCGAGGGAATATATAATACATTTGAATGGGTCAATCATGATATATGTTTTGCATATTTGCTTCAAGGTTGGAGGAGGAGCCTTTGCCATGTTCAGAAAAAGGTCGTTTTGTGCTCTTCTTTTATAATATCAGAGCACCATTTGGTTGAATTTGAATGAAAATGATGCATGATATGACAATGCCCTGCCTAGCAATACAATTCCATGACTGCTGTTTTTCATCACTGAATTTGAGGATTTGAGCTATTTAATGGTTAAAGTAGATTTGGTAGATATATGCTTGACATCATATTGCATGTGAATGTGTTGGTGAGATACTCTTTTGGTTTAATCATGATCTAGCGTTTTATATTAATTCAAGAATGAAACTAAACTTAGTAATGAAGAGTAAGGTATTCTAGTAATTTATACTCAACTCGAACTAGATTAAATTAATCATTAGAAAGGGAGAACCAGGAGTATAGTTATAGGTATGATGGAGATTGAGATTGGATCGAGCAACCAGTCTGGTGAGGATCAGGTATGGATTAAGTACTCAAGGCGACATGTTCGAGTCATACGAGTTGAACATTAATTTGAACAAGTCCAACAGAAGACTTCAACTAAAATGAACGAAGTGACTATCGTGTTAGTTATTTCAAACTTTGACTGACAATTTTAGTGGTTGATTTATAAAGAACCCCATAGTTAGGTGACCATATCTGTAATTGACCACCAAACGAAACTCCAGAAGACAGAATCTTTCTTTTCCCTTTTCAACTTTCCTTTTCCCCCCTCACCCTCTCCTCGTGTGATCAAAAGGGAAGCGTAAAGGCAAATGCAACACTGCTCCTGTAAAAGATGATGATAATCTAATAAGATTCATTAGCAGAAATCAACTCAGTGCTTCCTTCCCACCTTTAATTTCTCATTCGAACTTGTGAAGGTGAAGCATTTCTTCATACAGTAGAAAAGGAATGAGACCTAAAAAGAACACATTAGGAATTTAAAAAGAAAAACCCTTCTAATTCCACGTAAAAAATATAAACTTCAGCATTTTCCCCATAATACTCATCGTAGAAATGTTCCCTCCCCTTCACTTCCTGCCATCTAGATGCTAAGGAGCAAACTGCTATGGCTGCAAACTGTCACCGAACTCGGCATGAGAGCAAGTGTCCACAAGTATGGATACTTTTCTGTATTCAATATGCAGATGCTAGACTCTTGGGATTTTGAATGTGAATCAAGGTGTAAACAAGGAAAGGAAGCACCAACTGGAATGAGGATTTAGTGATTTACACTGTGGAGACTCACTTGGTTCTTTCACCTTTAGTTATCTTCCTATATATATGTCATTGTCGTCGGACTTTAGGGATTGCTTAACTTTCTGTTCCCTGAGTAAATCTCAACGAATTTGATGTCGTAGACAAGAGTTGCATTGGCAGGGATGTTGCAGTCGCCTGCATCATTGAACAAGATAGTCAAAATGGTCGTTAGTAGAGAATGCAGGTCGCTTCTCGTTGTTGTCATTTCATCCTAATGAGCAAATGATAGTCCATTTCAATGCTTTGGCACTGGTAAGAATCACCTGAGAAGCAGCCTGCAGGTTCTGGTCCATATGCTAACTTTGGAGGAATGAAAAGCCTACGCTTCCCACCTGTGTGGAGTGTGACAATACTGCTTTTAGGCCAATTCAACGAACATTTGCATACAACAAACAGAAGGGATCAAAAGAACATTCTCCAATCTGCCATCTTTCATGATCTTGGTTATCATTACCTATGTGCATTGGAGGTACTCCATCACCCCCGAAAATCCCCTGATCCAGACCCTTAATCACCTGTATAGAAACACCAATCACAAGAACGAACAAATGCACTCGGGTCTTAGACCTCATACTTTTAGATTTCAAGCATAGCTTTGAGACTTCTTATACGCAAGAACAATTCTTTTTTATCAAATGTAGGCTTTAAGATTATCTTGTTAAGCCAACAATGTTGCAATGGGTACAAACCATTTAACTCAACTTAAGCATCTTTCTTCTCGTTACTGAAGTTTCAACAGTCTTAAGGAGCAGGTAATCAAACAAGCTGCAAGCCATTAATCTCTCACCTTACCGACTCCAATCCGCATAGTAAGCGGTCTAGCCCGTTTATAACTGCTATCGAAAACAGTCCCATCACCAAATCGAGCAGTGTAATGTATCTACAAGTAGCCATATAAAAAACCATCATCCATGAGAGATACAGGACATCCACCAAGTGTATGAGAAAATGACCCACTGAAACCCAACAAAATTATGACAAATCGAGACACTCCAAACCCCAAACTCGGGCTTACAAATCCAGCTAACAGAGTAAAACTACAAAAAGCGAACCCTAATCCTTACAATGCTGTTCATGAATCAACTCACATTGATCAACTCAGCATAAGGCGCCTCTTCACCGGGACCTTCAATGACGTCACAGTAGCCGAGCCCAGACCGGACGAAATTGAACTCGCACATAGGCTCTCCCACCGTGGCGTAGTACTCGATCCTGGTGGCGTCGGCGTCCATCGGAGAAAGAGCGAGAATCGAAGCCGACAACAGCCCGATGCCCACATCAACTATGCGATTCTTCCGCTTGGGAACAGAGTTCGAAGAGGGGTTGCTATTGGCATTTCTGTCGAATTGAGGTTGCCAAGAGGAGAAGCAAGAAAACGAGCAAGTGGGTTTTGAAATGGAGGGAAGGGCTTGAGCGCGGAAGAGGGATTTGGGGCTTGCGATGGCGGCGGAAGCAGAGAGCGCCATTTTTGTGTTCTTGAGCTTTCTGAGAGTGAAGTGAGTGGCTTTGAAAAGTAGTTAATGCCCCGGGGGAAGAATTTTTTTTGAGGAATTCAGAACCGTTGGAAGTGGATAAGAAGTAACGTCTGGGTTTTTTTTTTCATTTCAGTTCGGGCTTCTGCTATCATTCATTGGCCCAAATTGATTCCATGTCTTCAAATTGGGCCAAGTTGAGGCTTGGAGCAGAAAGACGGGCCAAACTAGCTTGAGGTTTTCCCCGTTTTCCCTGGACTTGCAGGGAATACTGTCTAACCAAAACATGTGGAATACTTCTACCCAAATTTTTTTGGAAATTGGATTACAAATTTTTCAAGAAATGATGTATTTTGCAAGTTATTATGGCAAGAATTCGTGGAATCTTACAAATGTATGATTTGTAAAGATTGTGATGAATCTTTGGAACTTTTGAGTGCGTGCAAAGAGTATTATTAGGGTATGTTGAGTGATCCTTATAATAACCCACAGATTTATATGAATTCCACGTCGATGTAAACAAAATTTGATTTAGATTTTTAGTAATGACCATATATATATCAAAATTTATAAATCATCAAGCACAACACCACTACATCGTATTGTTGCTTTGATATCACTGTATTACAACTTTGTTGAATAGAACTGAAAAGAAATTAAACCTAACTCGAAACTATTTACGATATCTCGCGCGTATTGGTTAACTCGAAATTTTACCTGAATAAACTTCCCATCCATTTCACCATAAAATTCTCTTCTTCCCCATCCATCTTTCAAACACAAACTAACATCCACTCTTCAAGGCAGAGGGAAATCAACAACAACCTTCAATGACGACCCTTTCCTTCCCGCCTTTCTTCTCACCGTTCCCTTCTTTTTCTCAACCCAAACCATTTGTCTCCTCCCTCCTTTCTCGCCATTCCTTTTGCCGACCCCTCCTCCTCCTGCAAACCCCAACACCCTCCGCCATTGACGATCACCAAACGAACAAACATTAGAAAAATTTAAATACCTTCAGTGAACCATAAACACAAAGCCAAACGCAATATCAAGAAGAAGGAGGAAAAAAGAAATGGGTCGTGTAAAGCTTCAGATCAAGAGGATAGAGAACATCACGAATCGGCAGGTCACGTTCTCCAAGCGACGAAATGGCCTCATCAAGAAAGCTTACGAGCTCGCCATTCTGTGCGACATCGACATCGCTCTCATCATGTTCTCCCCTTCCGGCCGCCTCAGCCATTTCTCTGGCAAGCGAAGGTTCGCTCCTTTCGTTTCGTTGTTGCAAACTCTTTTTATACCTCGTGTCATAGTTAAATCATTTTGTTTCAATAAATCGAATGTCTAACTCACAGAATCGAAGATGTGGTTGCTCGCTACATAAACCTCCCGGACCATGATCGAGAATGGTAACATCTTTCAATTTTTTTTTTTTCCAAATCTCTTTATTTTCTATATTAAGAATGAGCATCCAACTAGCTAACTCACTCCTGCCAATTTGCATTTCCATAAGCAGTGAAGTGATGGATCGTGAGGTAAGCCATGCAAAAAAAAGAAATCCCTAATTTGTAATTTGATAATTACTGTGAATGAGTTTTGATTGATTCTCAGTTATCATATATTAATCTCCCCATTTTATGCTATTCGTTAAACAGCATTTGCTCAAAATTCTCAAGAAGCTCAGGACCGACAACGACATGGCCCTTCAAGCTACAAAGTAAGGATACCAATTTTTCTATTAAAAAAAATACATATAGTGATCTTTCTCGACGAACTGAACTCTAAATTTCGATGCACGAGTCTGTAAATCTTATCAAACATTTGTTGTTGTTTACGAACTCGTTTCTCGATAATATTTAGAGAATTCCTTTTCTTTTTTCCGCTCTAATATATTTTTCATGGCCAACCTGCAGCCCAGAGGCAACAAACTCAAACATTGAGGTAAAAAAAAAACAGATTGAAACTTGTTATCTAATTAATGAATTTTAAAAAATGAGATGTGAAAAAGAATCTGAAATGTTTTTCAATAATAGGAGCTGCAGCAAGAAGTCTGCAATTTACAGCACCAGATACGAGCAGCAGAGGACGAATTGAACCTATACGAGCCAGACCTTACGAAGTTCTCGTCGATCGGGGAGCTAGAGTCCTGCGAGAAGAACCTCTTGGAGAAAATGGCCCTTCTAGAGGAGCGCAAGGTATGCTTGCAATGGGATTCAAAAGCAATGGAAGATCGAGATTTTGATATGGTATCTGAATATGATGTGTTTGCATTTGTTGCAGAAGTATCTGCTGAGCAACCATGTCTCCACTTACGACCCTGCAAGCATGCAGATCTACTTAGATGCGCAAGAGGGTCTACCGAATTTCGACAACGACCTCGCGAATTGGCTGCCAGCTGACAATGGTGGGCACAACCAGCAGAACTCTGTTCATCATGTAGTCTCAGAGTCATCCTGCATTCCTGTCAGGTTGGTGACAAGAGAAAAGAAGAACTCAACTTTTTTTTTTGGGCTAATCCTAATGCAATAAGGATTCGACTTTTCGCGGTGTTTGGCCAGCAACCAGTCATCCACCTCGATATTTGAAGCACTGTCACAAGGGAATGCAAATGTTGGGGATCCTTGTAACAACATTGGAGGAGGAGGAGAGAACCATATGAACAACAACAACAACAATAACAGTAATAACAACAATGAGAGCATCTCATCATGGCAGCAAGCTTTCTCATCGATTTCGCCGACGGAGCTTCTTGCTGGCTTCTTGCCTCCTACTTCTTTTGCTCCCACTATTAAGGTTACTCTCTCCCCCTCTTTCTTCTTTGTGCTTTGTTCTTGGTGCTTTGTTCTAACTCTGGTTTTGGTGTTAAATGAGTAGCAGCAAGAGGTGGAAGGGCCGAGCTACACATCAATGCTGCATCAGCAGCAAGCTCATGAGGCTCAATCAAACTGCCAACAACAGCAGCATCATCAAATGCAATCATCGAACAACGGGGAAGGGTCGGATTATCATGATCATGATCAGAAGTTTATCACACAGCTTCAGGTTGATTGATTGACAGTGATTGACCAATTTTTGTGCCACAATTGTTTGAGTGAAGCTCTTCTTGAATTCAGTAAAGAGGTTCCCTTCTTCTTCTCTTTTTTTTTCCAGTTTCTCCAGTTTTTGTGTTTCTATTCAATTATTTTCTTGTTGTAAACGAATGAGCATTCAACTGCCTGAGCGACAAGAAACCGCAAATAGTATGATTCGAAATCCTGCTTTTCTGAATAGCGGTTGTCACATCTGCACATAATTTGTTTAATCAAAACTCACATAAGATTGGATTTTCAGCATGCTCTTTTCACAATTCTGATAAATTTGATTCACTGGAGACGTAAGGGTGTAAGACTAAAATCATCAGATTACCTCAAAGAGAAGGCCACTATGAGAGTTAAACGTTTTGGTAATTCTGAAACATCACTGAAATATTGATGATTGACCTAAGTGATTCGATCGAAGACACTCATGTTCTTCTCACAGAAAAGAGTTCAATTTTCATTACAATCTAACAAGGAAAAGTAAAGTATTCAACCAAAAATGTTTACACAGTGTCGCATACCATGGGATGTACAGAGGAAATGAAGTTGTGGATTCCCCAGATTTTCTACTACCATTTCCATTACAAACTTTTTTAGATCTTATGCTAACGAGTCATGATTATTGGTTGATCTCACTGCAAAAATGGAAGCTTGGTGGGTGTAAGGAGAAAGAAAGTACCTGTAAGGAGACAGTATGGCCTTCCATCTATTTCAAGCACAACCCTCCTCTGGAAATGTACTACCGATTGAGACAAACATTTCAATGCTTCACTCTCATCCTTTTCTCCATTCCCAGTGGAGTAGTATTGGCTGCCAATTGCCATCACCAGCTGCTAAAAATCCCCATCGTGGGCATGAAGCGTGCAGCTAGTCCCTTGCCATATCTCGCAGCCGACTTCACCCAATGCTTCAGTCTCATCCTTTTGTCCATTCCCAGGATCAATAACCCGTCCAGCTCCTCGATTCCGCTCACCTTGGTCAATTTGGTGCACCCCTCAATTTGAAGCTCCTTCAACTTCCTGAGACCAGACAGATTTCCCAACTTCTTCACTGAGCTGCAATCAAACATGAACAGCATTGTTAATGACCCCAACCCCTCCACGCCCTTGACCTCAGTCAAGCCTTCGCAATAGCTGAGGTCCAGAATCTCCAGATTGTTGAGGCCGGATAAGTCTGGCATCTCTGTAATCAAACAACAACCAAACAACCGCAGCTGTGTTAATGACTCCAATCCCTCCATCCCCTTGACCTCAACCAACCCTGTGCACTCCTCAAGGTTCAGTTCCTCCAAATTATTGAGGCCGGATAAGTCTGGCAGCTTCGTAATCGAATAGCAATCGCACATCACCAGCTGCCGCAGCGATTCCAATCTTTCGAACCCAGTTGGGAGATCAATCAAGCTTTCGCAATGTGTGAGGTCTAACCTCTTGAGGTTCCTTAGCGCAGACAGATCCGGCAGCTGTCGAATCGAAGTGCAACCCTCCATACCCAGAGACTCCAATGACACCAACCTCTCCAACCCGTTAACCTCACTCAACTCTGGACACCGGATGATGTCCAACCGTTTCAGATTGACGAGACTGGAGAGCTCGGGAAATGGTTTCTCTCCAAACGATTGTTCCGTCAGAGTCAGAGCCTCCAACGACCCTAGAAGTCCAAGTCCATCCAAGCTAGCAAAGTTGGGACAATTTTCTATTTCCATACGGGATAGAGTCTCCCCGAGATCACCCAGGCCTTGTATCTCTACGAGAAACGGGCACTGGCAAACCGTCAAGTCCTTCAGTTTGATCAAATTCGCTACACTCGGCAGTCTCTCCAGCTTCTCGCACCTTCCCACGAAAAGGGTATGGAGGAGGAGCAGATTCTCAAGTCCAACGAGGCTTTTCAGGCTCGGGTAATCGGATATCCACATTGTCTCCAGCGCCCTCAGCTCTCCCAGGCCCGAAATCTCAACCACCCCAATATGCGTGAGTTTGAGTTGGGTCAGATTTTGCAGATTCGCTAGATTGGGGAGATCATTCAAAGGGCCGCATTCCTCCACATGAAGGCTAGTTAAAGATGGCGGCAGAGCAGCAGCAGAGGAAGTTGCCTCCTGATCCTGCTGCAGTAGTGGACCACAGACGCTGCATTGCTTTAAAATCAGTTCCTTCAAATTGGGCAGCCGCCATAAGTCTCCTGGGATCCACGGATTACTAGCATTTAGGTAGCTCAGTGACTCCAACTCCTTGAGATCGAGCAGATTTGGGACCCCTGATGGAGATGAGATGGATAGCCTCTTCAAACTACCCGGGAGCTTGGGTATCTTCATCTTGTAGTTATTCACCCTGCTGAGTTCTGATTCCAACAACAGGATTCTGAGAGAGGATAGTTTTTCCATCCCAACGGGCAATTCTCTCAAATGTGTCAACCTCATATCCATTTCCTCCAACAGTTGAAGCTTTCCTATGTTACCACCGCCGCCCGGGACGATCAACTCTGTTATCTTGGTGGAGGAGAGCCTCAATGTTTTCAGATTCTTGAAATTGCGGATGTGCAGTCCTCCTTCCATTTCTTTACAAAGCTCAAAATTTATCAACTCCAGGCTTGCGCACATGGACAAGTCGGGAGTTCTTGTCAGTTTGGAGCACTTGAATAAGTTTATAGCTTTCAGCTTCCCTGCCGCCTGTATTCTGCTCCAGCACTTCCAGTTATCTTTCACACTGGAACGCTCCAAATCAAGAACAATCAATTTCTTGGTGTTGATATCAGTTGGGATAGATCCACAACGTCGAAGTCGAAGGCAACACAGATTTGGAAGAACATGGCTGAAATCCCCCTTCACATCTCCACCATGCACCTCTAAATATCGTAATCTCGGTAAGTTCTTGAATCCCTTGTTGTTGAGCAGTTTTTCATGATCATCTCTGAATCTCACGTTTATCCGAAGAACTTCAACCCGTTCACTTCCCTGCAAATGTACATGACTGGCAACTAGTTATTACACTTTGAGCATATATAAGTACAATCCAAAGAATGACAGAAGAAATTCTACCTCTCCGTTTCTTAACATGTTGAGTGCATCGTCGGTAGACCATATCCTGCTACAGTTATATGGATGTTCAACATCTTCCATTTTAATAATGGCTCTCCCAAGATCTTTGATGTGATCGTGCATCCAAAATTGGTTTCTTTTGTCAACCTTAATCAAAGATCTATTGATAAGAGTGGTGATGCTACTTTCTGGATAGAAATCACAGCCACTCCACATATAGTAAGGTAAATCTTTGGGGCTGCCTGTGAAATGAGAAGCAATATCAAGAAAGATTTGCATTTCATTGTGTGTCAGCTCGTTGCAGCTAATCTTCAATCTCTCATGCAACTTATTCTCAGTAGTAGAAGGTATGTTTTGTAATTCTATCAACTTTTCTTTCCAAAATTTCCTCTCTCTACGAAACAAAAGTGACCCTATCACCTTGAGAGCTAAAGGAAGTCCAGTAGCAACTTTTACGAAGTCATCAGATATTCTTGCATCTTCCTCTGGTGGACTGTCCATCCCAAAAGCATGTTTGCTAAATAGTTGCAAGGAAAGATGATAACTCAGTTCTCCTGGTTCATAAAACTTGCATTCTGGAAGAAACTCTAGAGCTCTCTTATTTCTTGTTGTAAAGATAAATCTACTATCTCCGGAAAAATCATCTGGCTTCCCCAAAATTTTATCAAATTCAAAATTGTCATCGATGTCATCAACAACAACAAGCACTTTGTGCTTGCAAACTCTCTGTTTTATCATGTTGATCCCTTCGCTAACACTTTTAACTTGACGATCATCCTTCAAAACAGCAGATAAAATCTTATTTTGTAGAGATACGGCTCCGTTGCTCACTACTAGAGCTTCCCGTACATCTTCCAAATAACAACAACGATCAAACTGGGCAAAAATCTTGTTATAGACAGCTTTGGATAACGTTGTTTTACCTAGACCGCCCATACCATGAATGCCAACGATGACTTTCTCGTTGGATAACCCTAAATTCAACAATTTCATCACTTCTCCCACATGTGTATCGATTCCCACCAGCTCATCGGTTACTAATGTATACATACTCCTCAAATGTGACTCAACATTAGAAAGGACCTCGCCTATAATAGCACCTTGACTGTGGCATAAACCGATGATTCATCAACATACATCACAAAGTAAGCAAGTGGTAAAATAATCTAAGAGACAGGTACATACTACTTACCCGTGAGATTCGATAACGTGCCATCCTTTCATCTCCCCTGCAATTTGGAGGGCTTCCTTCCATTCATTCACAACTTCTGAGCTGTGTTTATGAGAGTGTTGTTCAAAGGCTTGTTGATAAGGACCCTGTTGATTCCTCACATCTCTCGGGTCCACGAAGTAGAAAATTGGGAGGATGAGGTGTCTCTCATCTTGCTTCCAGCACTCCACCATTCGAGCCAATTCCAGAAGGCACCATTTGCTGGAAGCGTACTGTTCGGTGAAAATCGGGATGTAGATCTTGGACTCGGGGATGGCCCGAACAAGGGAAGGGCGCGGTCCCTTCTCCCTTTCGGAGCTCTTCCTCGTCCCTAAACGTGCGGATTTCGGCGCGCACTAGCGAGGTGTACAGATGATCGGCAAACGTGTTGCGGACGTCGGGGCCTCTGAAGCTCAGGAAAACTTCGTACTCGCCTGCTGGGAGAAGAGGCGAGGAAGCAGCAGCAGCACCACCGGGAGAAGTGGCGCATTCCATTGTTTCGATCTTCGCTGCGGATCGACGAGCAGCCGATTCTCGCCGGAGGAGCTCGGCGCACTCAGCCTGGATGTTTGGATTTTTTGGCCGGGATGTCTCAAGTCAACGCAAAGGGGGGAGAAGTTGCCCAGAACTTGGCAGCCGACATTGCTAGATTCACAGATAGCTGGCTGGCGCCAGGGGGCGGTGAATTTAAAATTACTAAATTAGCCATGCGCCGAAAATAGGTTCCTTGGGCTGAACTCTTACAAATTGGGCTCGTGTGTTTGAACCCATTATGCAAGATATTTCTTTAAAAAAAAATATTTCAAAATTTATATCCATAATAATTGTTATTTGGAACAATTCACTATTTGTTATTTAATTAAAAAATTATTTCATTCACTAGTAGGGTTTTCAACAGTTTGCTTTGCACCAAATCGCACTCGATCATACTGACATTAGAAGCGGACTGAATATAGTGTGGTTTGATCGTTGTCCTCATAATACAACACCAGTCTGATCCTTGGCCCTAAAATTTGTTTTACTATTGGACCGCAGTTTTCATTGAGTGTGCAACGGTTTGATATGCACTAGCTCGTACTGGAACGCACCGACATTAAGACCAAACCGAATGTAACGCGGTTCGATTCTTGACCCCATAAATTTTACAAATACTGCAAAAATATGAACCAAATTATTATTATTTGAAAGAACCAAACCAAACGAGATGCAATGATGGTCCAATCCTAGATCTGGTCCGCACCGTTGCACAACCCAACTTTTGCAATTTGCACTTTTGTAAATGGATGAATGAGCATTCAATTGCTTGAGGTGCAAGAACCCAAAAGGAGCATGATTCAAAACCTTGCCTTTTTTTCTTCTAAATAGAGATTTAAATCTGCCCATAATTTTTCCTACCACAGTACATGAACATCTGTTTTTAGGTTTGGTGGTTGTCTCATATTATGATATCAAGATCATCCAAGTTAAGATTCTCAGCCAGAGGGAACCCATCCCACTCCAAGAAGCCATCCTCCTCCTTCTCTTGGTTGGCTGTAGTACTGCAAAACCCTTCCCTTCCCATCTCAGCCTGTTCAAGGTAAAACTCACAGCAAGATGAAATCTCAACATGTTGGTTCTTTCACAATCCTGAACAATTGAAGGCAGAAGGGTGTAAAACTAAAATGATGAAACTACCTCAAAGCGAATGCCATGATGATGATGATGATGATGGGGAGATGGATCTGTTGATAATTCTGAAACATCACTTGAATGTTGAGCAATGGGAATAAATCCAGGGCTTAGATTGAAATCAGGCATGTTCTTCTCCTAGAAAAGAGTCAGATTCTTCATCACAACTTGACAATGAAAAAGGTGTATAGTATAGTATTGAAGCAGAAGTCAATTGTTTCACCTACCATGGAATGAACAGTAGAGGAAATGAAGCTGGATTCCCCAAACTGTCTAGTGCCATTTCCAGCAGGGTGGAAGCCATTGATTATGTCGCGAAGCATCGAGTTACGAACTTTCGAACTAGCACGAAGAGATGACAGGTTAATCTTAAAGCTTTTAGATCTTATTCTAACTGTGGATCAGCTATGGCTTCATTGCACTGCAAAAAGGGTGCTTAGAGAAAGAGAGAAGAAGACCTGTAAGGACTAATCCAAGGATCCAGTTTTAATATCAGCTGGCTGGGATTCGGACACTGGCTGGCTGCCCTATTGATGAACCCATTTCCACGAAAACCGAGAGAGGACAGTGAATCCAGCTCTGGCCTTCCGTCCATTTCAAGAACTGCCCTCCTCTGGAAATGTTTCATCGAGTGAGATAAATTAGCAAAAACCCAGAAAACATTGAATACTAACAAGATACATTTTCCATCGAGATTCTGAATCTGGCCCTTTACCAACCTGAGGAATGAAGGGGGGACGAGCATTGTAAGGAGCTGCTGAGCAGTTGCCAAGAAGCAAGTTCTGTTTGGAGAAACAACCCAAAAGAAACAGGGTAAAGCTTGAGATAAGACTGAAAACAAAAACAAAAAAGGTCCTGAGATGGGTTCAAGTCTTGAGCCGAACCTTTCTGTGGATGACCCGCTGCAACGCCTGGTTCAGGTTTCTCTCACACCATAACAGCTGAGGCAGAGTATAGCTGCTGGGCTGTTCTGGATCGACCTCGTAGTCCCTTTTTTTTTGCATGAATCAAACGACAGAATGCGTCAAATGCTAGTGCTAGCTACTTGACAGAACCCTATTTAGAAAAGAAAAAACACACACACACACAGTTACCTGAGATTGGCATCGAGGATTTCAATCTCTACTTCTGATTTCTTGATCTGCAGCTCCAAATGCTACGAATCGAGCGCGACGTGGAAAATTTAGAGTGGCAGCTTCAGGTGAAATAATGCAGGGGAAGATGAATGAATGACAGTAACACTTACGTGGATCCTGCATTGCATCGGGAAGGATACAGAAAAGTGCAATGTCAGTGTTGTAGTTGATGGATAAAGAGGAAATGGAGCAATTTTGGAGGAAGGAGAGAAAGAAAGAAACATACTGATTGGAAAGGTAGTGTGATTTGCTTTCATCTCCTTCGATAATGTGATCAAGCTGCTCTAACCTCTCCAGCTTCCCCTGTCAAAGTGTAAACCAGAGGAAGTGATCACTCCTCTCTATGGCAAATTAACTTCAAATTTGGTACCCCAAATTAAAGTGCTTGCACAATTAATCCAATAAAAATTTAGATAAACACATACCTCAACATCCTGTAAGTTGCTGTTCAATACCCCAAATTCATTCCATGTATGAAATAAAATTCGAGATTAGCAAAGAAGCTAAAAGTAAAAAATGGGTTAAGTCAAGTAAAAGCCCCTGAACTATACACTTTTTTTTCAAACAAGTACATGAATGAGAAGAACCACAAAATTGCAAAATGGCTTAGCCGAATTAAAACGGTGCCGTTTCGTACTAGTATCTTTGGTATGCTGGTAGATCAACATACTGCTGGAGAACATCCTCAATTCTAGCACCCAAACACACATAACAGTGGAAAAAAAAACTGTTAGCGCTTTGCAAAATGATACAACCATTTAGCGACCGTTTTTTTTTTTTTTTTGCGACGGGTACCTTTCTCCGCTGCTAAACTTGGTGGCGAGCCCTGAAGGAGAAAAGGCGACGAGCGCAACCTCGGCGTCGCAAAAGGCAGAGATCTTGTGCGCTTTCCTTAACAAACTCCTGCTTCTCTTCGAGAACGACGTCGCTCGCCTCCTAGTGACGTCGTCGTCAATTCTCTTCGTAGCTTTCTTCTTCTCCTCATCCATTAGTCCTTCAATCTTTGATCGTCGCCGCCGTAGAGGAAGGAAACTGGAAGATCAGCTCAAGCAAGAAGCTGCAACTTATTGCAGAAATGATTCCTCAAACAAAGGCAATTAATGGGTTCAGATTGCATGATAACTGAAATTTATTACACGTATTACGCGATAGCCTGTTTTTTTAGATTCTGTATACTGACACGTGTCGCTTTTTTTTTTTTGTCATGACTGGTCAAAGTAAATAAAAATTCTCTGTTCAAAATTGCATGGATCATGGACCCAACAAGTTGCAAAGTGGGCTGGTTTGGTATCTCCATGGGCTCATCATCTTGATCTCGGCCCAATACTCGTTTGAACCTGCCTGCTTTCAAATATTCCCGCCAAAGCTAACAGAAATTAGAGACTGTAGATTGTAGAACATTCCGTCCTCTCACAGCTTTCCTCACGCTTCCGCATCTCTCGCTCCCCGCACATTCCCCGACGCCACGCTCCTTCACGCGCCTCCTCCCGGTAACCGCCTGGCTTCGCCTATAAATACCAGGCTCACAGGGATCGTCCCCTCAAGTCGCTCACTCACCATTTCTCTCCAATTCCTTCATTCTCTCTTCATAATTTCCCTCTCTGTTTACCTCCATACTCCCTCCCATGGCGACTTCTCGCTCAATCGCTGCCGCTCTTGCGATCCTGATCCTCTTGTTCTACCCGTTGCGAGCTGCTTCCGCCGTCGGCTTCGACCAGTCGACGATCTCCCCGTCGGTTTCCGCCACCGCCGCAGCGTCCTCGACTCTGTTCCAGCCGTTTCCGCCGATCCAGTCCCCGTTCCCGTCGTCGGCCCAATCGCCGCCGATTCCACAGCCTCAGCAGCAGCTGCAGCAGCAGACGGCCGTCTCTGCTCGGGATTCCGGAGGCGATGAGTCCTTCATCCACACCGCTCTCCTGGCTCCGATCCTCGCTCACCTCGGCTACAACGAGCTGGCCATGGCGGTCCCGACTCTCTCCTCCGAGTCCACCGCCACCGCGTGGTCCGGGCCGTCGACTCTGTTCGCTCCCTCCGACGCCTCTCTCCACTCCTGCTACTCCTGCTCCATCCCCAGCCTCCTCCGCGAGCACATCGTCCCCGGCCTCTTCACCATGGATTACCTCCGCAAGCTCGCCTTCGGCACCAAGGTCGAGACGCTCGCTCCCGGCAAGTGCATCACCGTCACCTCGAGCTCCGTCAAGAATTCCACCGCCGATCCCCCCTCCGCGGCCAAGATCTTCATCGGCGGCGTCGAGGTCACCCGTCCAGATCTGTTCAACAACGGATTCCTCGTGATTCACGGGATCCAAGGCTACATCGCGCCTCTCTCGCCGTTCTCCTGCGACGTCGAGCGCCTCAATTCGCTCACGTTCCCGTTCCAGCAGCCGGATCGCGTCCCCGTTGACGGCCTCTCGCCGCCGCTCGTCCAGCCCGCGGTCATGCGATTGATGATGCGAGACGCGATTCTCCGCCTCCGCAACAACGGATTCAGCATCCTTGCTCTGGCGATACGGGTGAAGTACGCCGAGCTGGTTGCGCTCAGCAACATGACGATCTTCGCGCTCGACGATTTCTCGATCTTCTCCGGATCGTACTCCTACATCAGCAGCGTGAGGTTCCACATCGTTCCGAACCAGCTGTTGACCATCGCTGACCTGGAGCGGCTCTCCGTCGGATGCACTCTGCCGACTCTGGAGAGCGGCCAGACTCTGGTGGTAACCACCGCCGCCGCGACCGCCGCTTCTTCTTCCGGTGGTGGTGGTGCGATTCAGCCGGCAGCGCCGATGAGGATCAACTACGTCAGGATCAAGATGCCGGACGTGATGCGGAACTTGAAGATCGCTGTGCACGGGATCTACCTTCCGTTCCCGAGGATTCACCCGTCCACTACTCCAGCCGCCGGCACCGCTCAGAGCTTCGAGCAGGGAATGTTTGGATCATCAGGCGCGGGGGACTCTGCTGCTGCATCCTCCGCCTGTGCTGCTCTGTCGGAGGAGGACGGAAGCTGCGGTATGGTGCCTGTCCCGCCGGTGAAGGCGACGCTCGAGGTGGAAGATAATCACTACGGCCTCTGAATTGAGCCTTAGGTGAACGATTCGTTTGCCTCTCTATCCTCAATTTTGTGATTCGGATTTTCGATTTTCCTGTTCGTTCAGTATTTTTCTCTGTAATTCGGCTGTGGAATGTTCATTTGGGAATCGGGAGGAGCAGCGAGTTTCGGTATCCATTTTGACTCAGCTGCTGCTTCCTGGTGAGTTAGCCGTACGAGTTCTGTACGTAGGCCAGCCGCAGGGGACGACGCGTGTGGGCAAACTATCTTTTGTCAGCCCTTCTTTGAATTGAATAAAAGTTCCCCTTCTTTCTGTTATATGCACTCATTTTCTGTTTGCTTGCAAGTTCATACTATCTGTTTCCTGCCAAGGTTCTATTCGTTTTCATCTCGTCCGTAATTTCCAAGTAGTGATTCGTGAATACATAGCAGATATCGGTTCTCTTCCATTCCATCGTTTCATCTCTTACGAACTCCTGGAAATGGTGACCGGTGAGGGGACCATTGTTATCAAATATAGAAGAGGATCTGCTGTTGACCTTCCCCGTTAGGATTTTCTCTGTTGGGCCAAGTAGAGCTTGCCTTGGGCCTATTCTTCTTTCCAGTTGGTTCTCTGATTTCGGCCTGCCAAACAAGCTATAGTTGGACCACGGCCCATAAAGGAAATTAGAAGACTAAGCAACAAAGTCGCTAACAACTGAAACCATTCTCTCAAACGATAGCAACACTTCAGTATTTCCAGCTTCAGTAAGCATCGAATAAACAAATTTCAATTATGAGCTACAACAAGAACATTGAACTACATTTTCCCTTTTTTTTTTGGTAGAAAAACTACATTTTTAACGAAGACTATGTATCAGTAAATTTTTATTTACTAGTTACGAAGAAATACTACATAATCGGATACATGTCCAAACAACAAACACCATGCACTAATTAAATGCAATTACTTCGATATAAAATGCCCAATTAGCTGGCACAAATGTCGTAATCACCAAACAACAAGGCACAGTTGAAGAAATCCTCGTTCACACGTCCACCAGTGAAGTACATGCAGTTCCTGTCCAAGTAATTCCGAGCGGCGACGAGACACTCGATGCAATCACGGGACGTCGGGTCGGGGCATTCAGCTCGAGCCCACTGTAATCGAGAAAGAACTCGATCTATTTGGGAATTAGGGTTCGAAGAGAGAGAGAGTTTCAGAGAGAACGAGTATCAGAGAGAAGGGGAAGAGATCGATTTGGATGGATTGGAATGATCGAGTCTCTCGGTTTAGGTTATATAAAGTGGGCCAAAGTCTTAAACCGGCCCGGGTTAAATGAGCAGAATCAGTTGGGCTCGGTAAGACTATTGAGAGTCTTTCAGCCCAACACTTCCTTTAATTAAAACCCAAACAGCAGAATAGAAACCCGACCCAAGAGACAGAGTCTCAACTCTGCAACTCAGCTGCACAACGTCGAGAAGAACAGAGTTCTGGAAAACAGAGTTCTGTAAAAACAGAGTGCAAGAATAGAGCAGAAATGGAGAAGACACAGTCCGTTTTTTAACGTGGTTCGCCCAAGTGCAATGGTGTACTTCCACGTCCCAGAATATGGTCTGGGAGACCTTTTATTGAAGAATAAATCGCAAGCACAAATTAACACAGAACACGCAAGAAGAAGTAAACAAAAGGAACAAAGAAAAGCCTTTCTGCCTTGACACCAGTTGAACCTTTGCCTCAACTTGTGTCAACCCTTTTGCAAACCCAGTGCTATGCCCTTTACCACAATAGCTCCTACAAAAGTAGTCCAACATTATCAACCATTCGAGTATATATAGACTCCTCAATCAAGAGACTAGCCGTTGCACACAGAGAAGGTAAGTTCCCAATCAAGGCAATAGTTTCCTTATGTGAATCCAGAGATTGAGCTGCACAATAGCAACGGTTAGAAATTGACAATCTCCAACTTGATTTAATCCGCTGATTTCAACAATCTCCCCCTAAGTTGGAGGATTGTCGATTGCCTATTCCCTGCATACATAAAGCACATCTTTCCACCAAGTACTCAGCAAGAATATGTCAAAACGAACCAGTTGAGGACTCAGACCGAGAAGAAGATTTTATTCAAACAGACGAGACATGACATAACTGCTTAAACAAAAGAGCCTGACAAGATCACCACAAACAACTGACTTCCCTTAACAATTCAAACCTACCACCCAAGGCAAACAACTCAAAACAAGCTGACTCCCCCTAAACAGTTCACCTCACAGGATTCCAAAAAGATTCAAGGATCAGAGCTATCGCTAGAGGAGACTGCATCTGACTGAGCAGGAACAGAGGAGTCTGATCCTTCAGCATCAGAGCCATAGAGATCGTGCAGAGCAGCTGCAAAAGATGGTAGAGCAGGTCCAGATCCTTCAGGGGCTGCTTCTTCAGCTTCATCTTCTTCCGAGTCACTGCTGAGCCAATGTATGAAGGGTCCCTCCCCCTCAATCGCAATCCCGATTTCTTCTAAAACATCATTCGCATGAAGCCAAAGGGAAGGGGATTCAGTGCGATAGGCTGAGAGGTTCAGAGGTAGAGCAAGCAGCAGGCGAGTGATTATGGCTCCAAAAGGAAGGGGTGCATGGAAGTTATGATCAATAAACGGTAGAAGAGCACCAAACAGAAGATATGAGAAGTCCAGAGGTACACCAGCAGCAGCATGAGCTAGGATCCAGAGATCCAGGGGAAGAACACGATCAAGAAATGTGACACGAGGTAGAAACACTCTGGTCAGGATATAGTGAAAAGCTTGCAGCGAAGGGGACAGAAGACCAGAGGAAAAGGTAAGATCTTGATCTGGTTCATGACCAGTCAGATGAACCGCCTCAGTAGTAATGTTGAAGTTGAAACGAGGAAGTTCATCAGGATGGGCCAACGCTTCCCCAAAGGCAGGGATGTTGAGAAGACGACTTATATCAGGAAGCGGGAGGGTCATCATATGGCCATGGACAAGGGAACTTATGGTGCGGGTGTGAAGACCAAAGTACCTCAGATTTGAGTAGAACACCCTAACAGCTTCAGGACATATGAGAGTTGAAGAAAAATCTGGCATGAGAAGAAATTCCCAGCCGAGATTATAAATATAAGGCATGATGTCTAAGCCAAGGGGTGCAAAATCAGGAATGTGGACAACTGTGGTGGGATTGATAGGGCGATTAGCAAAGGATTGAGTATGACGATGGTAGTTGGCTAGGACAGGCTCATGAAAATGCACTCCAGAGTAGGTCAAGGCAAAGGCATAAACCATGGCTGACTAGAAGGAAAAGAAAGACTCACTAGGACATACGAAAGAATGAGATAACTCAGTACTTAAAAAGACATAACCAGAACCAAAAAAGGAAAACTAAATCAATCAATCAGACAAAAAACAAGGAATGAAAAGATGCCAGAGAGAAAAAGGAAAACAAAATACAACAAACAAGGTAACCTAGCCAAGGCTAGACTTCATTAGCAGCAGTAATCGAGGAAAGAGATCGCAGACCAATCTCACAGCAAAGAAAATTGAAACGATCAGAGGACAAGGGTTTGGTAAAAAGATCTGCCAGTTGAAACTTAGTATTAATGTACTGGAGATTTATAATTCCAGCACTAACAAGATCACGTATGAAATGATATTTGATTTCGATGTGTTTAGTACGTGAATGTTGCACAGGGTTTTTAGACATGCAGATTGCACTAGTATTATCACATAGCAGGGGAATATTAGTTAAAGCAATGCCATAGTCCTGTAGTTGGCTTTTTAACCACAACAGCTGAGTACAAGTACTTCCAGCAGCGATGTATTCTGCTTCAGCTGTGGATAGGGCAACTGCCCCTTGTTTTTTACAGGACCAGGAAACCAGAGAAGTACCTACGAATTGACAACTACCAGAGGTGCTTCTCCTATCAGTCAGACTCCCAGCAAAGTCAGAGTCACTGTATCCAACAAGGTCAAACTGATTATGTCTAGGATACCATAATCCAATGTCCATGGTACCTTTTAGATATCTAAAGATACGTTTGACTGCAGACAAGTGACTTTCTTTGGGTGCTGACTGAAAGCGAGCACACAAACACACACTGTGTTGAATGTCAGGACGACTAGCAGTTAGATACAGCAAAGAGCCAATCATTCCTCTGTATTTAGATTCATCCACTGATACTCCAGTTTCATCTTTTTCAAGTTTTAAATTTACAGCCATGGGAGTGGGGCTGGAGTTGAGTCCCATCATGTCAAACTTACTCAACATAGAAGCTATATATTTAGTTTGACTTATAAAGGTACCTGAATGCATTTGTTTAATTTGAAGTCCGAGGAAAAATTGCAGTTCCCCCATCATACTCATCTCAAAATCCTCTTTCATAGAATCACAAAACTCAGAGCACATATCTTTATTGGTAGCACCAAAGACAATATCATCTACATAGATTTGAACTAAAAGAATGTCATTAGATTTGTGTTTTATAAACAGGGTTTTATCAACTGAGCCTTGAGTAAAACCGTGCTGAAGAAGAAACAGAGTAAGTCTATCATACCATGCCCTTGGGGCTTGTTTTAGACCATAAAGAGCTTTTCTGAGTTTATAGACGTGATTAGGATGTTGATGATCTTCAAAACCAGGTGGTTGTGAAACATAAACCTCCTCTTGAATATCACCATTCAAAAAAGCACTCTTTACATCCATTTGGTAAAGAGGAAATCCCATATAGCAAGCATAAGCACATAACAAGCGAATAGACTCTAACCTAGCCACAGGGGCAAAAGTCTCATCATAATCAACTCCCTCCTCCTGTGAGTATCCTTGAGCCACTAATCTCGCTTTATTACGAATTATATTGCCTATTTCATCTGATTTATTTCTAAAAACCCATTTAGTTCCAATCACAGATTGATTTAAGGGTCTTGGAACAAGATCCCAGACATGAAGCGACTTAAACTGGGTTAATTCATCAACCATAGCAAAGAACCATTCATCACTTTTAATAGCTTCTTTAAAATTTTTAGGTTCAAACTGGGA